CATTATGGGTGGATTTTCTCATTTAGTAGTTACAGTTGGACCCAACTCTGGTGACCCAATTCAGCGTCAACAATCTGCTTAGAAACGGACCACAAACAGTGAGAGCCGGTTCATTCACATCTGAGGAAAGTAGCTTCAGAAAACCAGGGCTGGGACTTTAACATGTTCATTTCAATTAATTAATTACTTGGATTTTTAAGAAATGAATCGCTTTTGGGGATTTTTACCGATTATCAGTCATATTAATATCAGATATAGACGTAGGCCCAAATTTTCATATCAGAGCTTCCCTTTTGTTTATGATTTTAACATTTTAAATGGATTTAATTGTGATTCCTCTGAGAAATCCAACTTGATTAAAACGAATACAGAGCTTCACAAGAACTGCTGAATGGAAACAGCCTACATGAGCATCAAGTTAAAAAAGACAAGAAAAAACAACCCAATAATTCAATTAAGCTTATTTTAGCTAAGGATTCGCAGAGCCAATTAAACATGATTTTTGTTTTTGCCAAAATACAAAAACACCAAAAAAATATAAATCTGTATTCACATTTAATAAACCAACCTTTTAACAAGAAGCAATGAACTGTTAAATTTTTTAGAAAACGAGAGAGAACGAGGAGCAGAATAGATATGAAGTGAGTTGTGATATCCAGTCCTCAGGTCTGTTGTGTGATCATTTCACAGCCTAAATGTCCAAAGGTCAGCTGTTAATAATGGCAAGCCCTGCGGACTGAGCGTATGCAAATGTGTGTGTGAGAGAGGCAGACAGTGAGTGTGAAGGCCTGCATGTCACACCTTTCTGCTCTAAATGCCATGTAGTCTGCCGTTAGTGTCACTGCTGGACCGTCCCCACGAGGCTGGGAGATCAGCGTGCGTTTGGAAATTTAACCCGACACCGAGCAGTTCCATGAGCAACGATCCGTGCGTCCGGAAGCCCACGCTGCGGTCAGACCATTCTCAGCTTTTCAGCTAAAAGTACAAAACAGCAACAGCAGGAGAAAGTTGGGCTGCTTTAGGCTCGGTTCCATTAGGAGCTGCTGTGTGTAAAACGAACCGAACTAGTTGAAAAAACATTTCTACACCTGGCGTGTGGCGGCGCTGCACCTGAAGCCACAAAAGGAAACGACATAAAAACTACTGAAGAAGACAGAGAGCAACTTTCTCTCACAAAATGGAAACAAAACTGGAGTAACGACCGATATTAGCGGTGGTAGGATTTCTATTTTGTGTTTGGACTAGACAAACACAAAATTTACCCAGAATTCTTTGTGCAGTCATCCACTTAATGGTTTTGGAGCGGTGTCCGATTTGCTTTCATCCAGTCAACCTGAACTGAGTTCACTTTAATCAGATGGAGACTCAGGTTCCTTAGGCAGAACACAATTAGCTTTTTTGGTCAAAAGCTGCTTCATGTAACTTTTATAAGAAATTTGATTTTTTTACAGATTTATTAAAACTGTAACCATGTCATGACAGATAATCTGTGAAAAGAAATCTCCCTGAGTTACTATTGGTGTATGATGAGATGCACCAATCCCGACCAAAAACAACCAATCAGAACCAGGAGGAGGGTCTTAGTGCCAACAATCAACCCCATGAATGTGATGCAAAATGTGCTAAAGGTGGAGAAACAACTCATCGTTACAGGGAATCCGTTTATCCACCATCATCAGTGTGTACGCTAACTAGCCTGCGCAATCACAGCAGGCTATGCTAGCTGCAGCGCAACACAGAGCAAGAAGGGGAGGAGAAAGGGAGGATGAGCATCGCCACACAAGATTTTGATTGACAACACTAAGTTATAGTTACAACTTTAAAACTACGGTCTCTGTTGGTTTAAAGTTAACAGTTTCAATGCTTTTCTGAAAACCAAGCAAACCTAAGACAGCTCCAAAAGCAGGAAGTGAACTACAGTGCAGGGCATTCTGGGTAAAAACATCCTAAACAAACGAGTGTATCTAGCACTAGCCGGAGAAATGGCTTGTCGTCTTTTACCAAAGACAGAACAGACATCAGGCAACCAGTAAAATCTGATGCTACTCCATTTTGTTTACATTTCGCCAAGAAGGAAGTTGCGCTCCATTTCTTCTTCCAAGGTTTTTGTGTTGTTTATTTGTTGTTGACTCTCTTCTCTGGAAGATAAGAACATATTAACTTATTTCAAATACAGTATTTGTAGACATTCAGCCTCTTTGTCATTTTAAATACAGCTTATTAAGGGCTTCCATGCTAAAATTATAAGAAAATGCATTTCAATTTCATCTAATGTAATTATTCTTATACAACATATGCCAAAGTAAGCATTTTAAAAATAAATCACAAAAAAGGAAGAAAAGATTGTTGGACATAAAGTCAATTAATCAACAAACTAATGAAAGCAGTAATGCTCCACTTGTGAAAGTAAATCTGTTGGACTTTCATTGGGACTTAAGTAACTTTGAATAATAAATAAACATAACAACAACAAGTTAGTCAAAAGATTAATGAATAAACTGGGGGAAACCAGTCTATCACATAACTACTGTTATATTAACATATACATTTCTTCACATTGAACACAGTATCAGGAGTATTAAGCTTTTTATACTAATTGCACTAGTCTAAATAAAACCTGAAGCCATCTAATGACTCATAGCAAATTTTTACAGACTTGAAAAAAATCTAAACAATTAAATAAACATGACCCAGATTCACAGTGTGGCTTTGGATTTGGCTCTGGAGGTCCAAATGGTGAACATAAATGAGTTCAGATTTGGACTGTGAGCTGAACTTTAAGCTAGTTCTCGTGAACCGTGAACATGCCCAGCAGTGGCCACATTAAAACACAAACAAGTCCCCAGTGGACGCATTGTTGTGCTGTCACGCAACTAACCAGTTTAACATGTGATGTAGCAAATAAAGCAGCGAAGCACCAGCAGGAGGAAGACATATGAGGCCGTATGGCAGGCCATTGTAGCATAAAATCAGCTCCAACACTTACAGTCCAAATATCTGAAACTGGTTTATGACTTAACATACTTAGTCAGAAATCATTATGAATAAACTTACACCCCTATTTATTTAGTTCAAGTCGGAATGTTACTAGAATAAAGTCATAATAGTATGAGAAAATAGTCAAATATGAGAATGAAGTCATACAAAAAATATAAAATAATACAAAAATAAAGTTATATGATAGTCAATCCTAATATTATGAGAATCAAGTTGTATGAGACTTTATTCACTCTAAATATGAGTGAAGTCATACAAAAAAGTTGAAATAATACAAGAATAAAGTAATAATATGTGTTAAAAATTCAGAATATTACATCAATAAAGTCAAACAAGAAAAAAGATGAATATGAAAATGAAGTCATACAAAAAAATCCAAATAATACAAGAATATTTTAGTATGAGAATAAAGTCGAACAACAAAAAAGTTAAATATGACTATTAAGTCATTAAAAAAGGCAAAATAATACAGGAATAAAGTCATAATATGAGAATAAAGTCAATATTACAACTTGCTCAAATTTAGCATGGACCTAATTCTCCTTTTATTCTAGTTTATTTTTTTAATGAAAGTGTCTATTTTCCAGCTCTGCGTTCTTGCAGTAAAACCTTCAACCTCGTTCACATCAACACCCCTAAAGCTGCAGCAGAAAATGCCATCGCTCTCCTCAGCTTCGGCCGCTACGACCTGAAAGTCAAGGCAGAGCGAGAATCAAAAGTTCCTGGAGACGCAAAACTGAGCCAAGGAGTTTGGAAGTGAAATGAAGAAGAACGACGTGTGAAGGAGGAAGATGGGATACAGATCTGACAGTCTGACCTTTCTAACTCCAGCTGACCCTGACGACCTGTTAGCTGTAGAGTTTAGGGTTTTATATTTTTGACTCACTGACTGTAATTTACTTCCTTTGATTTGTTTGGCGGATGTTTGAAGTGTTTCCATGTCGCGCCACAGAAAACTTTTTATGTACAAACCTGAAGCTGACCTCCATTATTACCTGTAAGGAAAGCCGAATCAGAGGTGACGGAGTTAAACTTGAGAGTTGTGTAAAAGCAGCGAGTTTAAAGAGGAAAGAAGCCGCGCAGCATCGATCGATTACTGTAGGCCTTTTTTTCTTTCCTGAGAGTGGACAGCCTCAGCGCTCCAATTCATCTTCCTTCTGTGTTCTCCAGGAAGGTCAAAACCCGGAAAATAGGCTACACACCAGGCATTCTGTCACCAGACACCCTTCACCTGCTTCTCAACACCAAGAAGTCGAACACAACTGGGACACCACCACAGACAAAAATACACCAGGTGGAGCAAAGCAGCAGCAGCAGCAGCAGCACGACTCGCATTCGTTCTGCTTTTACGCTGCATTTGTTGTCCTTTCAGAGGAAACAAAAGACTAAGACAAGTTAACCTTTAGTTGTACTTAGATTTGGACATTTGGTACTTGTTGTAGCAAAGCTATTTAAATGTCCAACTGCTTTACTACTTCTATTTCTGCACATTAGAGACAAACATTTGCTGGTTTCCAGGTGTGTAATTTGTGCTGTGCTGTAACAAACTATTATTTTAGTAATCAATTAATCTATATAATCAGTTCTTCTGATTGTAATCACTATTTAATATAATTAGCAATAAACTCAGTAGGAAAGTTACTTTTGTTCTAGGGTCACACAGGAGGATTATAAGCATGCAAGTTATTTTTCTTTCCGCACAAAAAAAAAAATTACCCAGGTAACACTAATTACCTTCATAAAAATAAAGGTAAAAAATGTCAATTGTCCACCCTTAAAATATGAGGATAGGGTTTCTAAACTATAGCTTTAAAGCTCACTTCAAAAAGAAATCATATTTTCCAGTCCGTCATATAACAGTTATAACATAATAACAATAATATAATAATAATATAATATAATAACAGTTATAATATAACAGTTCAGTCAATGTGCACATTGTCAATTAAGAAAAAGAACAAATAGTGGAATGAAAAATCAATTTATAGGATTTGAGGGACCCTTTTTGTCCAATAAGCTTATCTGTTATCCAAGCAAAAGATCCAGCAGCGCCGGTCCCTCCGTCCTTCCAGGCTTCTGTCCGAGTAACAAAGATGGCGGCGGGTCCCTCCTGCTCCTGGAGCTCCATTGGCTCGTTCAGATATCGGCCGTCCAAACTAACCAACCTACACGGGAATCGGTGAGATCTTTCAATTACTTCTCAGTGAAAACCAAACTGGCGTTTAAAATCAACCAAAAACGCTCAGTAATAAAGAACTGTGCTACTTACAGACCGACACCTTTTACTCCGGTTGGTTTTTTCCCCGGTTAGCTCCAGCTAGGTAGCCATTCTGCGTCAGTAAGCGGATGAAAATAAAACAACAGACTCACCGGAGAAATCTCGGAACAGAATGTACGTTAACGTACAGCATGTATGTTAATAAACAGATTTGTTTCATATCACAGCAGCATCTATGAGTAGTAACGGCTCTACTTCTGTTCTGTAGTCCGCCATTTCTTTTTCTTCTCCCCGCTGCCTCACTCTTCTTCACGTACAGGCAGGAGAAATTTGGACCTAGTGCCCTCTGCATGACATTCTAAGAACTAACAAAACAAACATTAAAAATACAGACAGTTAGCATAATTCATGTGGGTTAAGCCCAGTTCACACTGATTTTTGAAAAGTCGGTCGATTCTGAAAACGTGAGAGAGAGAGACCAGACACTAGCCGATTTAAAATGTAACGGGTTCGATCATAGAGTGTGAGGTTTCACTCCAACACATTCTAATTCCAGCTACGAACAAACAGGGACAACGACGTACCAGTGGTAACTTAAAGTTTGCGACTTATGTTAACCCAAAAAATACGCAACCAAAAATCAAAGCTTTGGATTAAGAACTGGATACATCGCGAGCAAGGATTATATTTGTTGCATCGCAACATGGAGGTGAGTTTTTTTTCTTTTTTTCATAAAAAATGCTGTTTTTAATGTTTTCGATTTTGTCGTTTAATTAACCGTTTACGTATAATTTTATAATTTTTCGCTGTGTTTATGTTGTTGTAGCATATAGGCATATTACGGAATGACTGAAACATCAGAGCAGCTTAAAGTAGAAGAAAGCATTTCCTGCATATTCATTATTAGAAAATCAGATGGCAGTTAAACTCCCCCCCCCTCCCCCAACTGACCGTTTACGTCACGGCGCTTTCTGATTGGCTACTTGTGACATTCAACAGACTTCCTTCTCGCTCCCAGTCGGGGGGAAACACCACAGACAGACATATTAAACACGTTCAATATCCCCGATTTTAGATCAATTTAGATCAAATCGGTCCCGACTTTCCACCGACTGGACCCGATCAGTCGTAACACACTACAGGATGATCGATTACGATTGTCGGAAGCGACAATCTTAGAACTCAGAACGTTCTAAGATTGTCGTGAGGGCAAAATCGGCCCGATAATCGTGTAGTGTGAACTGGGCTTAAATGATGATTAATCGATTAATCAGATTTTTAAAAATTGGCACATTCTGGAATTCTTACAATTAACCGCTTTAGACTTTTCGTAGAATCCTAGAAGTACATTATAAAATGCATGAAAACAATTAAGTTCCTTTAAAAAAAAAAAAAAAAAAAAAAAAAAAAAAAAAAAAATATATATATATATATATATATATATATATATATATATATATATATATATATATATATATATTGCCTAAAATACAAAAACAACACTGCTTTACTGAATTTTACAGGCATTTATTATAAATATAAAATACACATGTTGCATAGTTTTGGCTTAATATCGGCTCTGAGTGTGCAGTTATTTTAGTAAATGGCATTTTATGAGTTGATTAACTGATTACTAAATTAGTTGATTAATTGTGATTCATCCGATTAATCGTTTCAACCATAGTGTGCTGATATTGTTGTCAGGACGCTGTTTGGTTCAGTGCTACACTGAAACCAATTAGTCGCTAAAAAAACCTGAATACTGAATGGTAAAGTATCTGTATTTACATTCAATCTCTGTGAACTTGATGTCTTCTTTAGAAATATTGAATCAGTTTACAATTAATTATCGCCTGAAACATGCTAAAACAGCGTAGAAAAGGTCATTTTTAAAACTACTTTTAACATTTATGTTAATTGAAATTTTACATACATCTGTGACATTTTGACATGACAAAATACCAATTCAAGATCTTAGAAATGCCATTTGGACCAGTCACAATGTAAATTGAAAACATCAGATATAGATATCTTACTTTTAACAAAAGTAACAAAGTAACAAAATCCTAAAAAAAATAATAAAATAATTTTTTTAATGTTTGACACCACATGATTCAGCAGTTCAACAATTTGTCATTACCTTACTGCAGTTTTCACTTATTAGGCTCATCAGGATGGTAAAAGCCAGCAGATAGACAACCTTCATTTGTCTCCAAATACATAACATCAGAGTAGCTCTCATAGATGCAATGAAGTACATAATGTAGTAATAACTGGATACCTGCCAGATGGGAAAGAACATGACTTGAAAGGACATTTGAACAGAGGGAACCAGATGAATATTCAAATGAAAAGAATATTTATTTCCATTTAAAGGTCTGTTTCCTTTTCTCTAGATCACATCAGACTGAACAACAAGCCTCTGTCAGCAGGAATAAATCTGAACTAAACATTACTGAAGTCAGTTTAGAAATGTTATGGCATTACACTGATCAACATGCAATATGTGATAATTCAACGGCTCCTTAACATAAAGCTTGACATAAATACACACTTCTTTACCTTCTAACTATTTGTATGTTGCATTAAAGTCACCAAACTTATTGCAGGAAGTCTGGTACTTACGTAATGAGCTTACATGCATTGCAGATCAGCGGTTCTTCTTTGTCATTTGCATTTTCTGTACCACAATATTGCAATAACGATCCCTTCAGCAATAAATCAATTAACAAATTAAAATGATCGCGATAATTTTCATTTGGACAACAGTTGTTAAAGAGAAGTTAACATTGTTAAAAAGCTGGGGTTTTCAGAAATGACGCAAACATTTGATACCCAGTATTGATGTTTGTTCTTTTTGCCTGTTTTTCCTATCTAAACTCAGTGATTATTAACTTTTTAAATGTAATTTTAATCACCTCAAACTTCATGATCCATCTTAATAATTGTTTTATTGCGGGTATTTAAATTGTTTTCCAGTTCTACTGTTCTTTATATATTTTTTGAGAGGATGTAGTTGCATTAATATTATTACAATAGTTCAAAATGGTCTCAAAATGTTAATATTATTTATTGCAAAAATTTCGGTAATAATTTATCGTCCATCAAAATGTGTTATTGTGACGGGCGACACACATTTTAATTTTTGAGGACAATTTGGGCTACGTTTACACAGCAGGCAGTCCAACTTTCTTCAGGCAATCTGAACGGCCCAATTCCAATCTTTTCAACCAAGAAACAAGAAACAAATCTGATTTCTGCTGCTTCACACTTCACTGGATGAATATCCAGTAGTTCACAAATTGTTTGCAGTCTGAACGGTAATGTCCCATTTTATTGTATTGATTGACATAAAATACGTGTCATAATTCTACACCAGAAGAAGACAGACGCAATAAATCAGAACGTAAACAATGGCTGAATAAAGCAGTGGCAACACGCTAACCGAGGCCTGGACAATAAATCAGTATATCGCAATAGACATGTGATCAACTACGATAGTTGTAATGTAACATAACTAAAACATTTTAACTGAGCACTGTGAAAGTCGTGTACCACACAAAATCGCTTCCAGGACAGGACCACCTGTTTTACTCCAGAACCTCATGTAACCTCACTGTTGTTTTTTGATCAAATTTAAAGTCTGTATAGTCCGGAAAATATGGTAACTCATTCTTTGGTGACAGTAACAGTAACTTACAATAACTTGTAACAGTTTCTGGTTTCGCCACCATGGATCATAACTACTTAAAAATAAACAAAACATCAGTGCTACCAACTGCTTTATAATAAATTATCTGTACAGCACAGACTGAACACTCAACCTCATCTATCATCCCAATATTACTGAAAATCTGAGCCAGACATTGTGTAAACTACCAGAATGCTCAAGTCAAGCAGCTCAAATCTAAAATAGTTCAAGGTTACCCTGGAAGCCTTTCCTACACACATCAATTTTCCTCACTGGGATGCAAAAAAAACACAGACCAAAGATATGGAGCACATGAAGATAGTGAGAAATCTCCATGGGTAATATAAATGTGTGTGTTCACGTGTCTGCTCTCTTTACATTCCATTTCCACCGTCCACAGTGTCCAAATAAACCGTCAACCCTGAAATGGCTGATAAAGTGTGTGTTCATGTGTGTGTAAGTCACAATATTTGCCCTGTGTTATTGCAGCTCTGAGGCCACAGTTTCTTCTATAAACACCCAGCTGTGAATTATTCAAAAAATAAACACATTCAGGACACATTCAGGACATCTCTCTCTCACACACACACACACATTTCAGACAAAACATTTTTTATATGAAAGGTGGATATGTAAAAATACACACACCTGTCGAGTGATAGCAGGAGATATCTCAATTCTAACAAAAAACACAAGCAGACACACACACCGAAAGAGAGACACATTAAAAAAGTGTTGAAAGGGGACGAGAAAGCTGACGAACTGAATTAACTTTGGAAACACACCCACCTACACACACACACACACACACACACACACACACACCATTTCATTTAGTCTCTGGTTAAGTGGATTTGGCTGCTGGTCAAGTGCAAAGCAATATAGAAGATGTCAGTAAAACAAATGATGGGGTGACTCCTACAGCTCAAATACGGTACTGCAGGAAAACTTAATTAGATCATCATATCTGATGTGCAAAACCATTAGCTCCGTCACAGGAGGGAAAATTGCTTTTAAAAACCGCTATTATGTCCAAAATCAAATCATTTTACAAGTCAGCACCTGCTTTTTATGAAAAATTCTAGACCTGAAACAATTAATCATTGAATTGTTGAAATAATCCTCAACTAAACCAAAGTTTCCCTTCGACTGCAACTTCCAACTCCACCTCATTTGTCACAATAGTGTTGAGTAGCTTCAGTTTAAAACACAGAGATCTCATGTGATGTCACACTTCCGGGAACTTATTATCTGACGGCCATCTTGGTAGGTATCCAGCTCTGTCATGACAACTGCTATGGAGTTGCTTTAACAACAATAGATGAGCCAACTTCTATATCTCATACTTTTGCACGTTGGTCAATGGTGTAAATATCTTTTCTTTTTGTTGGTCTGGAAGCCATATGGTTTATCTATCCATTGTGCTCTGTTTCCCTACCAGCACTGATCACTTCCGGTTCAGACTAGTAGGAAAGGATGTAATTTCTTGTCCAATGAGTTTATAAGTAAAACCTAAACAGTTTTAAGATAAAATCAGGGCTTAATCATATATATAACATATTTTAGAAAAGAAACAAAACTGTGTCTGCATGATGGAAATCAGAGTTGCTCTGTCAAAGAATAGATGTATGTTCATAGACATAAATAAATTATGAATGAAGTCACTGACAAACCCGTCCTGTTTCCAATTACGCATTAAAACTGACTTCTCTACTGAAGTTGCAGTCAATGCTCCTCAAAACGCCATTTCTATTCGCTTAGCTTCCTTTTTGTTTCTCAGACTATGACCCATTTGACCCATTAGACTATGACCCATTAGACTATGACCCATTTGACCCATTAGACTATGACCCATTTGACGCTTTCCTCTTTAACCCGTCCCCAGTTGAGAATAATGTTTTTGACCAAGAAGTTTTTGACTGTTACGCTTTTGATCTGTCCCCAGGTGAGAAGGTTTGCTTTGAAATGGCCAGTTTAGATGATTTCCCTGTTCTCCCACAAGAACAAACGTCCCCGGCTGGGGACGTCTGTTCTGTGCTTCAGAAAGTGCTCAACGAAACCACAGATGACACAGACCAAGACAGCTAAAACAAAGTAAATGACATTTACCATTTTTGTAGATTTTCAAACAGTTCCAAAAATGGTTGGATTAATGCCAGTTTGCAAGGCATACTGAATTTAAATTTGACCAAAAAGTGCCTGTCTCAGAATCCCCAGAAGTTTTTTGAATTATCATCAGCCACACCATTGTTCGCCAACCTCATCTATACAGCAATTTGCAATCCAGGAAAACATTTTTTCCCACAGCAAATGTCCCAAGTTCAGGTGGAACTTAGAGAAAGTGAAATGTCGACAGACTTGGGGAATGACTACCAGACTTCGTATTTACTGGAAGCTGTTTTGGATTGGCTAAATTTAAGTGTCAGAAACATGGACATGCTTACAAACAGTGAGAAGACCTGCAAAAAGTGTAAGGCAGATTTCATTGGACTTTTGAACAGCAGCCCCCTTGTGTTTCTGCCTGCAATGCATTTTAACAACGTTGCCTCTCTCTTAAGGTGTTGGCTGGATAAGAGTAGGGAAATTCATTGTTCAAACTGCAAGTCAGTTTTCAAGAGGAAACACTTCCTGAGTAAGAGTGAAGTGATAGTCCTGTTCCTGCATCGGTCGGCCAGGTGTTGGAGTGCAACAGTGATTCCAAATCCAACAATTGATGTGCCAGGACAAAACGGAAATCAGCAGTACCATATTTCATCTATAATCTGCCGTGATCCTGAGCTGATAAACTTCTACACCTATCTGATCCGCGGAAAACAGGTATTCAAGGCTGATGACAACCAGGTCATTACTGCAAGTGGCCACTGGATGGACGACATTAATGAAAGGGGCTTTGTCTACATATATGAAAAGCAAACATCAAGTGCGCCATCTTTCCCAGCTCTCCCTCTCCAGGCTAGTTTTTTACAGGAGCAAGAATCTTTGATGGAGGTTGCAGAAAACATGACAGAAACTGCTATAGAGGGAGGAGGAACTATTGTGAGAGAGAAAGAAATTGAACTTTAACACCAAAACAGGACATATTTATGGGAATATATCCATAAGAATATATATAGATTGGAGTCACTGTTGTTCATTGTGACTCCAGTCTATATTGCATTCTTCTCGTAATTATTTGCTTTTTTGATTTTTACGTTTGTGTTTTTTCTCATTTCTGTTGTGGAGTTTCTTTAGTGTTGGCAACATTCGGCCAAGTATTGACGCTGTGAATTAACTGTAAATTTAATTTAAACGTTTTTACCAGTAGTAGTTAAATTTCTTGTTTTTGTTAAAAAATACTTTATTGATCCCACAGAAATTTTTATTTTCATCAAGATTCTTCAAAGAGCCATTGAAGACAAGACAATCGAATGAAGAGGATGGACAGGATTGTCCCTAATTTTCTTGATCCTATGAAGAATCCTCTCCAGAGGTTTCCCAGAACAAAACCAGTCTTCTTTACCAGTCTGTTGAGCGTTTTTAGGTCTCTGGCTCTGGTGCTGCTCCAGTCCAGTCTGTGGTCCAGATGAACACCGAGGTGTTTATATCCCTCAACCATGTCCATTTCTTCTCCCATGATGGAAACAAGTTTGATTTAATGCAGATCCTCCAGAAATCAACAATCATTTCTTGTATTTGTTTCAGATTCTTTGTCAGGATTCCTCCATCAGTCCACAAAGATTCTGTGCAAATTTGATAATAAATTGGCAAGGAAATTTTTTTTTGATTATAATGGCAATGATAATAACTATATTAGTATTAATATACCAATATTATTATATTAATACTAATATTAGAGTATTAATAAAGATATATGTACTAATATACTAGTACATATATCTCTCTATATATAGATAGATCTATTGATTTACAGATTTATTGGTAGATGATCTTTATTGCCCTAAGCACCATTTGAGTTTTTAGAAATTTCACTAAAACAAGAAATGTCAATATTTCACATTAAGTCTGTTCCTTATGTGTAGTTACTGCCCCAGAAAACTACAATATACAGCAATATACAGTATATTAAGTACTTGGCTTCATTTTGCTCTAGGATTAAAATAATTATAATGGACTTTTAATCTAAGCTTGTCAACCTTAATGACCCCAAAAATTATCTTTTATTTACAGTCCCACTTAGTTGATCTTTTCCTATTATTTTAATTTTCTATTTACAGATAAAATTATTTTAGTTTCATTTATATTTTTGTCTGACAATAAAACAAATCAATTATTCAATTTATTTGCAAGCAGAACAAAAAACAGAGTAAAAATGTCAACATTTGTAACTTAATTCATCCTTATAAAAAAATAATTTGGGTCCCAGCACGTGACCTTTGGGATAACTGGAAACTGTTCGGTAGACGCCATCTTTGCTAACAATAATGGCGTCAAGATTTGAAACGGGAGCGATTTTACACCAGACTCTGTCATTTTAATGTCACAGTCTTTGTATAAAAACAATATTTATCAGATATATTTAATGTGTTAATATTTTTTGTTAAATTTGGTCATACTCAAATTTAACAGATAAAGGTACTGTTTAAATAAAGGACAGGTTGGTTTTAGATCACTTTTCCCCTAAATAAACAAATATAGTACAATTGTTTTATAATTCAAGTTAACTTCCTGATAAAGTTTGTTTGATTTGAAGATTTAAGACAAATTGCAAAATTTCTATTGGTATTTTAAAGGGACTCGGACTCCACCTAGTGGCCAGAAAAAGGCACTGCATCATAACTTTAAAAGCCTTAATAAATGCAATAATTTTGAAACAAATAACCAAGTTATCTAAAAAAATACAGTCTTCTGTAACCGGATAAAATGAGGCAACATATTGACCTACTTTAATTCACTCAATGTTTGCAGAGATTCAAATAGTTCCAGCTCCAATACATCAACACCAGCATCTTACTTCAGAGTAAAAATCTCATAAAAATACACAAAAATGCAACAGCTGAGGTCAACCACACACACCTTAAATAGCAACTTTTGTACAGTGCACAAAAACAGACTTAAAGGAAAATTAATGTACCAAAAGGTCCAGCTCTGACGAATTTACTGGTATGAAAACAGAGAATAGGAAACGAACGAGTCACTTTGTTAAGACGATCTGCAGAAAAATATGACAAAAGTTTCACAACTTTAAAGTGAAAGTTTTCTGTCTCGACTCAGACCACACTTTTCATTTCCCAGGAAGTTTAATCTACAATCAGAAAAGCATCTTTTAAAAGGAAGTGGGATTAGATTATACTTGATTTTCATTCATAAATTATTTAATCTCATCTTTCAGTGAGTTTTGATTCACGTCACTTAAATTTGGGGCAAAACTGAGTTTTTCAACAGAACCATGATCTTTATGACACAAGCAGTCCAAAATACACTAATTTTTGTTTTTATAAAGACTCTTGTGTAATAAATTCATTAATTAAAGGCTCCCAAATTTAAATGATTCGTGGATGTAGAATTCAGAATGAAAACGAACCGTCCGACAAATACCACGAAGTCCTAAAACAACGATAACGTCTCGGCTTAAAGGACTTTAAAACTCGGTAACAGGAAGTGCTTGTTTGGCATATTTCCTGTTTAGACGACAGCTGCAGATTGTTTGAAACAGGCAGGGAAGATCCAGCAGCTCACAGCTCCGTTTTCTGCCCAGAAAGAGGCACCTGAGGCTGGATCTCCTCATCCGACGTCTGCCCTCCGTCCGACTTCTCCACCGGAGATTTGCTCTTTTTCTTCTTCTTCACTTTCTTCTCCTTTTTCTTCTTCTTTGTCGTCTTCTCTCCGTCGGAGCTTCCGTCTCCCTTCTCTCCTCCTTTCTTGCCTCCCTTCTTCTTTTTCTTCTTCTTGTCCTCTGCAATAGCTGCCTGGTCTCCTTTCTTCTTTGGAGTCCAGTTCTCATTCAGGCAGGCTGGATGGAGGAAGTGGGCGAAGGTGTGAGAAGGAACAAAATTAGAGACAAAAATGATCAACATAGAAACAAGGAAGAGAAGGAAATAAAAGGAGCTTAATTCTAAAGAGTTATTTAAAGGCCAAATCTATTAAGTCCTAAAGTTAATGTTCGCATGATCAATGTCTTATTGTGTGATTGAACAAAAACTAAACAAAAATAAGGATTTATAATAAGGGTAGAATCCAAAAATAAAGTCATAAAATTACCTGAATTAAGTAATTTATGAAAATAAAGAAGTAAAAGGAGAATAAAGTCAGAAAACAACAACTGATTACTCATCAAAATAATCAAATCGATTATAATTGATTACTGAAATAATCTCAAGTTGCTGTTTTTTTCCCTTTTTCTTCAATAAATATATCTGAAATATATTTTTAATTAAAGAACCAAACAAATTTGATGTAAAATTTTACCAAAAACACAATAAAAATGTATTTCTTGAACAAAACATGATAATTATGGAAAAGGGGAATAAAAGAATAAAATGTAGTCCTAAAGACAAACTAAAACAAAAAATATATTCTGATGTTTTTTAGTGTAATTCTGACAAAATAAAATGTCAGTGACATTTGAAGTTGTTAATGGATCATTTATTGTCTTCCATGCATCAAACTTAGCGCATGTTGCTAAGACAGAATGAATATGTAGGTTATTGCTGCATCAAATAAGCAACAACTGGTGAAAATATTAGCTGAAGTCAGTCAGAATGTGCTCTGGAGGTTTTTGTGCTCTGGAGGTTTTTGTGCTCTGGAGGTTTTTGTGCTCTGGTTTCCAGAGGATTTTTCTGGATCAGATGTTTTTTGGCTCTGGTTGCTGCGTATAAATAAACTCCTGAGAACCAGCGGCTCAATGCTCCCAAAATGCTTTTTATGACATCAGTTCTGCTTCAGCTTCACATGTTTTTGCTGCTCAAACACAAACAGAGCAGAGAAACAACTGAGGTCCAGCTGATCTGTTCTCGTAAATTTGTTTTTATTTCACATTTTTCTGTACACCAAACAAGGTTTTTCTGAAGAAAAAAATCTTGTAAAGTCACAAAATCTGCAAACTGAGGAATGTTTTAAGGCAAGTGGAAATAAATAACACTTTTTTCCCTGATAAAATGCACCTTTAAACTTGGGAATGCTGAAAAAGGACAAGAAGAATGTGGTGTGAACTCGGGCCAGAGGGGATTTTTAATCTCCGTTATGTGCGACCCTGCCAGTGGAAACATTTCTCCAGCTGAGCGAGATTTCTAAATCCAGAACAGCCGAAGGGAAAACATTCAGTCAGCAGAAAAACAAACGACAACCTGAGATCATATTGAGTTTGTTCACCTTTGTCTCCTCCTTTCAGAACGTGTTTGTCACACAGGTAAGTGGTCAGGTCTTCCTCCTGGTTCCCTTTGTACCAGTCTTCAATCACGTCCTCGTACTCTTCCACCATCACATCGCACTGGAAACACACAGCAAACGCAACGCCGCTCAGACGTCCACACACTCACAAACTGTTCTTTAAACCCAGACCCGGGAGAATTTGCAGTGTTTTCTCTGATTTGTTTGACCCACCCTGTAAATATGTTGTAACAAAATGAGAATGAAGTTGCACAACTAGGAAAAGAAAGATGCAATAAAACGAGAATAAATTTGAGAATAAAGTTGTAGTAAAACCATAGAATAAAGTTGCAATAATACAAGAAAAGTTTTAAAGTGAGAAATCAGAGAAATGCAAGAATGAAGTTTGAGAATTACCTGGCTGAAGTTGTAATTTACAAAAACTTAAGCCATAAAAACAGTACAAGAATAAAGTCGAAGAGTTATTTGAAAAAAGTCACAATTTGCAATAAACTTACAGTAACAACATAAAGTCAGAACATTTGGAGAATTAACTAGTGATTTTACAATAAAACGCCTATACAAAAAATAAATATTACAATAAGAAATGTTGAGCATCTTGTGAAGTTATTCTTTTTATGAATGATCAGCAGCAGAACTTTGAAACGACTGAGTTTATTTCAAAGTCAGAACCAGCTGAGCTGGACCCGTCAGAACTTGATAACAATCAAAGCTTTTTTCACTTTAAAACAACTTTTATTCATAAAAATAATCTTATTCTGACCCTAATATTGCACAAAACAACATCCAGTTGTTTTGTGCAAATAATCAATATTGTATGTTATTATTTCACCCTTTTAATTTATATTTTTACCGTTTATTCATCCACGGTGCACATGAAAAGAAGCAAAAACAAAACAAACACCTGCTTCTTGAGGTCGGCAACTTCAGCAGACGTCTCGTTCCAAAGTTCATAGGGAATATCCATCACCACCTTCACTCCCTTGTGCACCAGGCCATGAAGGGTGGAGAACGTCTCCGACATGCCCTGCACGCGCACACACATATGCACACACACACACACACACCTGGTCAGGAATCATGGAAAACTGGTATTCTTAAGGAAATGTTCTCCTTTCCAAATGAATTCACACAAAAAAGCTCCACAGACAAGAAGTGAAACATCTTAAAAAATCCCCAAAATGAGTCCAATTTCATTTAAAACTTTTCCTGTTTGTCTAGAAAACATCCTGCCCCCAAAACCTGATCTGGATCAGGGATTTCCAACCCGCGGGTCCGGAGCCGCCAGTGGTACTTTGGATCTTCCACAATTTACAAAGAAACAACGAAAGTTTTATGTCGATGCAATAATATTGCTATGAAAAGAGTAAATTTCTAACAAAAACCTCACAGCATTTTGACTTTAAGTTCAGAAATTATCTTGGAAAAACAAAGTTTTTCAGATTGAAAAGTTCAAAATTTGATTTAGAAAAAACCCTCAAATTGTTTTAGATCAATCTTAAACTTTGAAATTTCCAACGTCAAAATTTCCTAAATTTTTGAAATTCTGAAATTTCCATAATTTCTCTAGAAATGTTGAGATATTTTGGCAGAAATGTACTTCATTATTCATGGAACAATTGCTTTAAATTAAAACAGAATGACGCTAAAATACCAGAAATAAAGTTTTAGATCTGAGTTTCTTGCCATCAGTTTCACAAATGTCAACGTCACAAAGAAGAAAATGTTTTTATTTTATGTTTTTATGTATTCTAAATCCTAAAAACAGAAATAAATTAATTATTATAAAGATCAAAAATTATAATCTGGTCATGTAATAAGTTTTTCTCGCCATACTGACGGCAAACAGGACCATAAAGGTTGCAGACCTCAGATCCAGATGAGCCTAAACCCCTGACCTCTGACCCCTGACAGAGTCTGACCTTGGCGAAGCGGTTGCTGCCGCTCCTCTCTTTGTGCAGGTTGTACTCCAGCAGCCTCTGGCACACGTTCTCCACAACCTCGATGAATCGCAGATCTCTGGAAAACAACAAACGGACCCGGTTCAGCTTGTGATAGAACTTTATCCCTGCTGAAAGGTCAGAGGTCATGGCTGTCCGGTTTAGGCTTGGCTTACAGTTACCCTGAGCTGCAGAAGGAGAAAGACGCAAATCAAATCTCTGTTTCTGACTTCCTCCCACAATTCTCACCTCAATGGCCTCAGCCTTTCAGAGAAGAATCATTTTTGCTCCATAGAGCCGGGTTTTGTTTTTTTGGTGTTTTTTTTTCACTCCTTCATATTTTCTACACAGTTTGCATGTTTTTCTGAAAAGCCTCTGTGGACTTTACCTAAATCATGTTGATTTTCTCCACCTTCAAGTAATAAACGATATTATGTAGGTACGTAAATTAGCTTAATTTGACATATTAAAATACATTTTTGAAAAAACATTTAAGCAGGTACTAACATACTTTCATTAAGATCAGATCACTGTAAAAATGTTTTACATCTTTAATTTAATATAGCTATAGTTTGGTGAAAAGTTAGTTGTATCTTAATTTCAAGTGTATTGAGATATTTTCACTAGAAACTAGACCAAAATACTTTGTAATATTTGTAGATTTTGAAGCTGTGATCACTGAACCAGCAACATAAATTATTAGCTAGAAGAAATATCACCTACAAACTAAAGACCAACCTTCAAACTAAGAAGAAACACTAAATCATTAAGCAAGTAAAACTTCACCACACTTTTGCTGCAGATGAATTAACATTTCAGAAAGTATTTCCTGAGATGTGACAGCAGCTCGGCCCGTTTCTATATCGAGTTCTTCCACAGGAACTGAATCTGACCGGGTTCTCGTCCCCTGGTGCCAGAATCAAGGTCTCATTTCTGCTTTTTAACCCAACCGCTTCACTGAGAGCTGCAGAGAAACTTACGACTTGACGTATTTGACCGGCGGCGCTCCCTTCCCATCTATGAAGTTGTAGTTGCTCTCGATGACTGCCTTCGTCTTGCCCGTCTCTTCGAAGGCCGACTTCATCTCGATGCTGACGAACTTACAGACTGAAGCAGGAAAAGCCAAAAACGTCACCGAGGTGAATTTCTTTCTGCAGCACAAACTGCAGAGCTGCTGCTTCCAGCCACAGTTTGATCTCAACTTTACTGTTTTATTAGCAAACTTGGATTGCATCATAATACAGAAAATATGAATAGAGAGATTTAAAATGTATTTCTAAGATTCCAGAATTACATTTTAACTCCAGATATTCCAGCCAAAGGTACAATTATCAAAATCCTTCAGATAAAATCTGAATGTACTATTATGACAATTTATGAAAAGAAATATTGAAAAAACAGGTTATTTGTCTTCAGATCATATGCAAACTGCCCAGGTTTTAGGTGAGAAATTAACATTTTGAGTATAAACTTCCGAAATCAAAAATAATTTGTGAGATTCCAAAAGTTTAAATATAAACGTACAATTGAATTAAACATGTAACTGTGACCAATATCTCGTCATTTTGGTCATTTTAAAATACCTGACATAGGCCGAAAAGTACTGGAACACAGTTCAGATCAGCAGCAAAAACAAAGTAAACATCGGGACTGATCGTGTGACTGAGGCCCAGCAGCGGACCGGATGACCCACTGAGGAGCTTAAAGTGACCCTAACAGCTGCTGAGCTTCACTTTTACCTTCACATCTGTTTGGCAGATGAACCCAATCATCGTCTCCGTCCGTTTTAGCTGCTCCAACCGACCAAATTATGGCCAGAACCGACCAGTAAGCCGCCAACATCATACCGGAAGTTGTCTTCGACTCCTTATCTCTACATAAAAGTCGTTTAAATCGTTAAAACGCGACTGGGTTACTCATTTCGACGCAGTTTTCACATCCCTCTGCGGGTCATGATCACAGGTGTACAAAAAGCTCGTCTGCAGCCACTTCCGATAAGGGCGTGACGAACGTGACGCACCCCACAACTCGACCAATCAGCGCCGAAGAAGTGGCAGCGGCTTGACCAATAACAGGCAGAGGATGTCCAGAGAGAAGATATGACACGAGGTATCACTCTGAGCTCTTTTTTCGATATGACGCATAAAACAAATCTCATGTCAAAGATGAAGGGAATGAAAATACGTCAAAATTGTATACTTATTAAATATTGTTATGTGCATAACAGAGATGTAGTTACAAATTTGCAGTAGCAAATGGTGTGTATAAAAGTTCGGGTTTTTTAAACTTTTCATCAATTATTCATCGTGTTTTATTAAAAGAATAGCAACATGTAAGTTATTTTCTGTTTAAAAAGAGAAATATATGATTCAGAATCACGACTACTCACGTGCTACTTTAATTTAACTAGTCTTCGTAATTATCTGGCATTTGAATTCATTTTGTCAATTTGTGCTGGATGAATTATATTTTTAAAGGTATATTTATTTATTTATTTATTTTACAAGTAAACAAAATACTTCTTAATAAATAAAATAAAATAAAAAGACTAAATAGCCTTTAAATTCAGTTTGAATTCAGTAATCTTGTAATTTTAAGACGTCTCCAGCAGGGAGCGCTACGTCCAAGTCTAAAGTAGACGTGATTTCTGATGCTTAATCACATCTGGCTGATAGAAGCAAACAAATAGCTGAATAATAACGGTAATTTTAATGATAACTGTGGCTAACTTTCACCAAAGAGTGAATTTGGTGCAATTTGGAGACCATTTGATCAAATTTTTCAGACTAAATCCTTAACTTGCAGCATTCTTCTAATGCAAACATATTTGTATTGAACACAATATTTAGATTATTATGAACACTGAGCTGCTGTAATGACCTGGAGGTCCTTGCTAAACCTCAAAGGAACCAGCCGTATGTCAAACATTATAGATTAATGAATAGAAATGAAAGTGACATTTAGAGACGAGACTTCAGCATCTTGTTCAGGTCAGAGTGTAATGCATGGATGGATCAGGTTTGCTGTAATGAGAGCTGAAGCTTTTCTAACACCTTTGTGCCCAGTGGGGTCTGGAGGGGTTCTGGTGCCGATCTCCAGCTGACGTTCCGGGCGAGAGACGGGGGAAAATGTGCTGTATAAATAAAATGACCTTATCAGCAGAATATAGACAAGGTTTTGTGCACACTTGTAATGGAAATGCAGCTACTAAGTCCACCATAAACTTCAACCAAAATATTCTGGAGGAAGTTATAAAACCTACTGGGTCCAAATTGGGTCATCAACAGAACGAAGAGCCGATCAGCAACAAAACAGCTGAAAAAAGAAATAAATTAAGGTGTTTGGTGACCCAGTTAAAATCCAAATCTCAACCTGAAGTAGTGGAAATTTCTTGATACTTTACTGGAAATATTTGTGTCATAATTGAGATAATATTTGGCTTTAATCTAAACAACGATTAGAAATGTGCGTGTGAACCTTCAGCAGTAATATAATCTGTTCCTGTGCTTGAATGTATTTGTTTGAACCCGGGTGTGTGTGAAAGAGAGTTTCACAGCCAGATAAGAGCGATTCACAGCGGTTCAATAATAGTGCAATTTTTCTGAGAGGTGCTTCAGTGTACTGCTGCCTGCCAAAAGGACAGTCAGCACACACACACGCACACACACACACACGCTGCTACGGATCGGTGCGTGTCTCATAGCAGGACTTGACACTGAGTTGGTGGAGGGGAGGTTGATGTGGAGAGAGAAAGAAAGATGAAAGCTGGTTTTTATGCAGCCCACACAACAGGCAAACCAGCGCTTTGTTGGACAAACTCTCGTCTCTGCTGCTTTTCAGCTGTTCCAGTAAAAAAAGTAACATAATACAGATTACATGGCAGCGTGTTGAAAAGCGCCGTCGCTGTGGTTTGATCAGATTGAACCACTAAGTGCTGAAATACAAGGGAACCACAAACATGATCTGAAAAGAAACACAGAGTCTTTGTTTGTGAACAAAGCTGCTTTTATGCAAACATACTGAAAGTCTGTCTGCTTTCAGGTAGTTTGCTGCAGCGTTTGAGATGTTATTGAGATAAACTGTGAATATTTGCAGCAGCACTAACACAGACTGATGGGAAAATCTAAGTATTCAACCATCTGCAGCAGCGTTAACGGTTGGAAGAATCCAACATGGCCGCCAGGGATAAAACATGTAGTTTGTTTTCTACTGCTTGAGCGCAAAAAACAATGTATTTATAAATACATTGTTATTGATAGCAGAGGTTGAACCCAAAACTGTTGGCGCGCTCCACTGACTGGCAACAAGAATCTGCTCAGTTTGGGTCCAACATTTTAAAAGAGGCAACATTAATCTGCAGTAGAAGAAGAGTTTAAACTAAATGATTAAAATGATTTTAAATCATAAAAAGTTGATGTTTTATGCGTCATTCTACCTTGTCGGGTGTTTTCGGTTTTTGTTTTTTGCTCTTTTCTGTCAGAAGAAGCAGAAAGAAACAACTGGATATGAATTAAACTCCAGACTGAGTTACGGTCGTTTTTTAAAATTTAAATTAGAGGCACTTTTTGTTCTTTACTTTTAAGAAATGTATCTGTTTGTTTTAATTCAGCAAAAATAATTTATTAATTAACAAGGAAGTAAAAGTAAACAAACAAGTATATGGATCTGCAATCTAAATTTAAACAATAAATCACTTTTGAAAATCAACCCAAATGTTGTTCCAAGCTTATTCTTTTTTTTTTTTGCGATTGTTTTCTTGACACAGATAAAGAAGTGAACTTAAAACCCACAAAGTTTTCTAAGGATGCCTTTATTAAAGAGTCAACAACGTGCGCTAGCCGTCCAGTTCTAGAAAAATAACACAGTCATACATTCATTCATGTGGAAATCCATAAAAACAAAGAAAAACAAGGACAGTTTTTATTCTTAAAGCTAAAAATCCCTTTAGTAGGTGAGAGGGGAACCTGAATGAAGCCGTGTGCAGGATATAGTGTGTGTCTGTGTGATGAATAGACAAGTCAAAGTATTTTCCCGCTTTAAAAAATGAGGAAAAAAAAACATGAGTACAAATTTTAATCCATCTGGTTTCCTGACGCGGTTCGAGGCTCGTGTTGAAAATGTCATTTTCAGGAATAAAAGATTTAAAATTTTATGGCTTTTGTGCAAAAAATGCCAAACTGAAAAGTCACAGAAGACTTTGAATAATGAGAAAAATCAGTTTGAAACAGACTGGAAAACCAAAATAAATGAACGATCAGACGGACGGAGAGTGGATCGATCCGATGGCGCCGTTTCCATCAACATTTTATTAATACACATTTTGAAATTGCACTCTAGGAAATGTTGACAGAAACAAATGAATTTGACATAATTTCCTCAATTTTGCAAAAAAATAAAAATAAAAAAAGTTTTTTTATGCTCACTGGTTTTTGGCTTTTCCCAAAAAAAAAAGAAAAAAAACTTTCTTTAATTGTTTTATTGTTTCAACTTTTGACATTTTTGCCAATTTCTTTTCCATAAAACCAGCAAAGCGCCGTGTGGACAGAACATCAGCAAGTCCAGCTGAATTTTCCCACTGGACACGTTTGGATTTGGATTTTATTCGTCTGCAAGTTCATTTTGTTAATTATTATTTCAGAATCGTGTAACATTTTATCAGGAAAGGTTTGTTCGGTGTTCTCCAGCTGAGCTGCATCACTGGTCTCGTTGTTTTCCGTGTTTCGTCTGTGGTTGACGGAAACTTCGTCTTGTGTTTTGTTACAGTTTTATAAGGAATAAATTATTGTTTTTCTTTTTTTAAGGCAAAAGTCTTCTGACGCTTTTACACTGCAAAAACACAAAAGTATTTTAATCTCATTTCTAGTGCAAATATCTTATTACACTTAATATATCACAAAAACTTACAAGCAACTTTTCAGCAACATATAAGAACTTGTTTTAAGTAATTCCTTAAAATAATTAAAAAAAGTTCTAGTTTTGTTGGCAGATAAAATGTTATACATGAAACTATCTGCCAATTAATCAATATTAAGGAATTATTTACTTAAAACAAAGTCATGTATCTTGCTGAAAATATATTTTTGAGTTAGTTTTGTCTTCATTTATGAGCACTAAGCTGTTTGTGCTAGAAACTAGACAAAAATACTTGGTAAGATTTTGTGTTTTTGCAGTTTTGGCAGGACTGTGATTCCCATCCTGCCTTCATTTACAGTCCAACCTGCAGCTCATATTGTAGATAAATAATCTGCCTCGTCTCATCTGTGTTTCTTTTTACGTAAATTTGGATGTTTCTTCATCTTTAATTCCCATCGTTGTCTTCTTCTTCATCCCCATCAGGACGAAATGTCTCAGCTGAACGGCTCCAACCTGAACTGTACAAGCGCAAACGGACGCATGCTAGACGTGCACCAATCTAAATCAATCACCGTGAATCAGGACCTCAACAGAATCTAATCATGGGCTGTGAGTGGATCGATGGGCCTGCAGCGCCTGTAAGGACCCGCATGGGAAAACTGGAACCCATTTCTCACAGTGATTGATTGTCCTCACTGCTCCAGAAAGTACATTATTATGATATTTTTCTACATATTTTAAACTAATGCTGTGGTAAGAAGCTCCGAAATCTCAAAGCTTTCAGTTGTTTCTGAAATGTCCTGTAGGATCTACTGGTTCCCATCACAGTGATTGATTAAAGATGATTGAAAAGCTGAGCCCTGAGGTGCAGCGGTCCTGATTAAAGGTGGTGAAAAGCAGGGGATGTTTGTTTTTCATAAATCTTCATGTGTGTTACTGAGCAACATGTCTGAGAGTGAAACTCGACCAGAAAGGCCTCCAGAACCTTCACTGGTGCAAAGTAATCTAACAAAGTACGACATGAAGCACCAACAGGTATCAGCCATTCAGTTATAGCAGGAAAAAGGATTAAATTCCTGTAAAAAACTGACATTTTCAGATTAATTTCAGACATTTTCTACAAAAAACTTGGAAATTGCTAAAAATTTGCTTGAAAAATGTGGAGATTAGAAAAAAATGTGAACCTTTTTGAGTAAAACTAATTTACTTTTGAAACTCAGAAAATTCAAAAGTCCAACAATTTTGTCGCATCATACAAGATTTTCTTTGAAAAAATCTGAGGTTTAACACAAACCGTATGACTTTTTTTTTTCCAAGAAGCTTTTCGACTTTTCAAAATCAGAAATTTCCAAATATTTTCTAGAAAATTTCTGAGAAAAACTCAAAATTTTGTTGTTTTTTATAGCAATTTTTTTGACAAACATGCTACAACATTCTAGCAAATTAAAATTTATTATAAAATCTGACCTTAATCTCAGAACTCTCACTTTAATCACATAATTCAGACTTTTAATATTAGATTTTTTAAACTTTTTTCTAAGATTTTGACTTTTACCTCATAATTCTGACTTTTAACATTTTTCTGACTTTTTAAAATCAAAATTCTGAGCTTAATCTCAGTTATTTTTACTTTTAATTCCATATATTTCTTTAAGTAGCCCTGAAAGAAATATACAAAAAGTTACATGAACATTTAGTTAGAGTAAAAATTGCTGCTAGATCGTTTTCCTGTTGCTGGTGGGACGTAAAACCTCCAAAATCTCGTCGACGTTTAGAAACTAAGGACAGAAAACTGCTGTATTGCCGCCAGGAGGCAGTGGGACGGTTTGCGACTCTTCTGGCCGTGACGCCGCAGGACGCTGAGCGGATGACGGGGTCGCCATGTTTGCAGACCTGACATTTTGGGACATTGTTTCATTGACACGTAGAGGCGTTTTGACGCCAAGATCGCCGGCGGCGAGGTCACAGCGTCCGCCGGAGGGAGAGGAGTAAACGGGAGGACAAAGACGGGGAAAATAACGGCGGCAAAGTGAAGTGAAAAACGAGGGACGATGTCACCCTGTTGTGGAGGAACGTCTCCTGAGAAACGAAACAAAGGGCAGAACGTTTGACTCGAAGCTATTCATCACACCTGCTGTGTGTGTGTGTGTGTTGTAGGTAACTGTGTTTTTCTGATCAAACATGCATAATTTCTCTACTTCATTGCCGACAGTAGTATATTATCCAGAGTAAAAGTTAACAGCCTCAGCTCATGCCAACCTTTTGAAGTCGCAGCCTTGGCGACTCCGAGATAAGAAAAAATATGATGAAATTCTGGTGAAATTTCCCTTTAAAACTGAATTTCCTGTTCATGTCCATCCGCCACTCATTCACTTCCTGTTTCCTCTCATTCATTCTTTTTACTCAGGTTGAACTTGTGTTGCTTTTTACACATCTTTCGTCTTCGTTCCTCTTCTCTCACCGTTTATTTCCGTTCTCCAGGATAAAGTGTAATTATTAAGGAAGAGCTGAGCGAGAAGCCAGGGACTGTCGGCAACTCAAACAGAAGCAAACACAGTCTTAAGAAACCAGAAAAGTCCTCATTGATATTATTATTATTAATTATTATTAGCAGTTTCATTATTATTATGATATCCTTAATTATTACTAGTATAACTTGTATTAGGATGAAATAAATTCCTTGGCCCTTGTTGATGCAGAGAGAGAGGTTGCAGACAGCAGAGCGCTGGTTCCATGCCGCTCCATCCCAGAGATCCAGCTGGACTCAAATCCATCGGTCCACAGGTAAAACGGAGGTATTCCACTGAAAATATGGCACCTTTATTTTCAGTATTCCACTTGGAGGTAAAGGGGTTGTTCCATCCAACATCCAAAAACATTCAAATCCGATTTATTCCACTGCAGATTCAACGTTTGGCTCTCAGGGCAGATTCCTCGTAAGTTGAGAAGATTTTAAAGATGTTTCCTCTCCTCGCCTCGGCTCTTTCTAATTCCATCGCTCAGAGGAATGAGAGACATTTCAGAGTTTCTGTTGAAACGACGTCCTTTGGTCTTCCTGGAAAATATTTATGAGGACAGTTTGCTTTGAATCAGGCTGGGCAGGAATAATAACAAATTCTAGTGACAAATTAAATTTAGATGTTTAAATTCATGTTTTCAAGACTGTTCATCCTTTAAAGCAAACACTAAATACATTAATGTCACATTTAGGTTGAAAGGGTTAACTTCTCTGGGGGTTTCAATAAATCCCCAGGAATATTTGAAGCCTCTTTAAATGAGACCTGATGCTTTCTATTTACGGTGGCTAGCCAGCTAGTAAAACAATAGCTAGCTAGTGGCGGACTGGATAATATTGCTTCAGTTGTTTGCAAACCAGTGCAAAGTTGATTTCAAGCTAATTTGCTTGTTAGCGACTTGCTATACCAAGCTAGCAATTTTATCAACTTGGTAGTTAAGTAAATGGTAGCTGATAAACTCTTAATTTTAAGTAGTTACTTATTAGAAAAGTAGCTTGTTAATGTTAATAAACAAGCTACTTGTTTATAAGTAGCTTGTTTAATATCTTTAAAACCAGTTAGTCTACCTAAATTAGCAGGTTAGGGAGCTGCTAGCTCCCTAACCTGCTAGTTCACGTTAGTGGCAAACCCATTTTTGGTTTGTCAGATAACTAAAAATTAGCTTGTTAGCCGTATGACATAGGTCCAGTCATGCCAATTTGATATCAAGTCACTAACAAGCTATTTCTTAGCTACTAGCAAGCTAAAGTTAGCACATTGGTTAATCAGCTAGCTAGTTTGGTAGCTCGTTTTGCATAAAACAAGCTAACACATGGATGTCCCATAACTTTCTCAAGATGAGCAGAAACAAAACTACTTGAATCTGTAGAGGAACGACCAAGAGTCGTTATTACAGAAACAAAAAACTGATCAGTTCTGAAATCTCGTTGTAGTGAGGGGTTTAGATCTGAACCTTCAGAAACACATAAATACAGTTATAAAGCCAGCCTTCTATTACATGCAGAACATTTCCAGGATTAAAGTCACAAAAAATCTTGTTGCTGAAATGTGCTAAACAAATAAACTTCAGATGATTTGACAATCAAATCCATTCATTAAATGTTTGCTAGTTAGATGCTAGCTTCTAGCAACTAGCTAGATGCTAGCTTCTAGCTTGAAGTTTGTTCAAACTTTGGTTGAACAAAATGTAAAACAAATTTCTACACAGTAAAATATTACTTTAAGCCTTATTTTGCCAGAGTGAAAGTAAGGTTGGGCTTAATCATAGATAATAAGCTAGTTATGTAATTAGTTTAGCTACAGTTATAGCTTACTTACCTGTAGCTTCCTTAAGCTACAATTAGCTTACACAACTGTAGTTAATTAGGTAAACTAACTGAATCTAAGCTACAATCACCCTGGCTAATTTTAACTTTGGTAAGCTACAGTTGTAGCCTAGCTACTATTGCTAACTAAACTAATTAGTGGCCAAGCTGATAACATTAGCTCAGCAAATAATAAACCAATACTACATCACAACCATCCAAAAGCCCTTGTTGGAAAGTTTATAATCTAAGTTATTAACATTATTTGAAAACTTTAGTTAGCTAGGTGGTTAGGCAACTTATAGCTAGTTAGTTGCTTTGGTCACAGAGCCTTGTAAAAACTTGCTGTATGCAGCAGGTTTTTACATATATCTAGTTGAGCAGAGCCCTTAAAAAGTTAAACCAGCAATAAATATATATTTTGTCACCTGAAAAATCCCCAAAAGGAGTCAAACTGTCTCCATAAACATCCGCCATATTGGATCCTTCCTCCTGTCACAGCTGGGAAAGTCAAAGCCCAAATAAATACAGAGTTGAACATGCAGAGATCCAAAAGCTCCATTGTGTCCATGCCCCTCTCTCTCTGCATCACGCCATCTTTGTTTGTATTGAGCAAACAGGCAAAGAAAACAGTTTCTGCTTTTTCCTATAGCTGCGTGGTAACAGAGTCCTCTATGACATCGCAGCTGTCCTCTAAGACATCGTCACATGGTCCCACCCGCCCATCATCATCATCATTCCCCCTCCGCCTCCTCCATCCATGCCTCCTTCGCCTGCCCCTTCCATGCCCTCTCCCTGGAAAACGTCCTCGCTGGAGTCCAGCAGTCGCGAGCTGGACTCAGACATGTTGGAAGCACAGTGCAGGGATTGGCAGGGGCACGGCGGCGGGAGGGGAAGCGTCAGGAGCGAGTCCCGCCCGTTCGTTCTCAGCGGCGAGAATGACGGCGCGTCCACCGAGCGACCCACTTCGTTCAGGTGAGTGTCGCTTCTGGTGACGTCGCTGAGTCCGAAGTCGGAGTGACTGTGGCTCCCGAGGGGGCGGAGCAGCCCGTCGGAGATGGTGTACGAGGGCGGGGACTGGAGAGGCAGCGGCATGGGTGGGGCTTTGCGTTTGGAGCGGGAGAACAGGTAGGAGAGGCGTTTGAAAGAGTCTGACTTTGCGCTTGGGGATGAGAGGCGGTGCAGGCGGCTCCTTGTGCGAGCAAGCGATGACGATAGCGAAGAGGAAAATGACGACGATGGCGAGGGGAGGACATTGGTGGAGGACGGAGGCATGACGGCCGTCTTTAGCCCGTTGCTTTTTGGCTTCCCCTCCTCATCCTCCTCGTCTTCTCCCCACCCCACTCTGTCCTCCAGCCTCCCCTCCTCTGCTTTGTCTATCCGCGTCATTCCTGAAATGGAGCGCACCAGCGCAGACACGCCGAGCGTCGGCGCTGGCCTTCTGTCGTCCTCCACCGTGTCGGAGAAGGTGACGCTCTTCGACTTCTGGACTCCGACGCCTCCTCCTCCGCCCTCTCCTCCTCCAGGGCCGTCACCTGATTCGCTGTCATCCTCTGACGCCATGGCACCGTCGTCTTTTGTCGTCTCGCTGGATGAAGAGTAGTGTCGCCGGGGAGGACGCCGGTTGCCGAGGAGATCCAGGACTTCGTAGCGGAAACTGGAGATATCCTGCTTCAACTCCTGCACAGAGATGGAGAACATCGCGATGTTCAGTATCAGATCATTCTTCCTGGAACAGGTTCGGATTGGTCTACTGTCGATACAAATTCATTACGTTTTTTGCACAAAATCATTCTTAGATAATGAGACTTTTGTTTGCTCAGTTCTGCCAATTTTGATCTCTGTCGCCTTGAATCCAAATAAACTGCTGCTGGCCACGCCCCTCAACTCAATGGTTGCACTCGCATTTGAAAATGGCTGCATCAGATGCACAATTATACAAACCTACAAATATGAAAAGCAGACATGGAGCCTTCTGCACAACCAGCAACAATGCAGCAAGTAGTTTCTGGATGGTAAGTCAATAATAAAACACTTGTCTTTTCCAGCAGCCATTGTACACTGCATACTGCTGACCAAACATGCTAGAGCTTCCTAAAAGAGCCCCGTTTAGTTCTTCTATTGTATAAAGTGTTGCAATTATACATTTATGACTCAATATGCTACTAATTAACATATTTATGTTTATAAATGTTTGGTTTTTAAATGATCGACCTCAGGATGAGTAGCCATTTCTAATGGGGATGATCCACACAAACAAATAAAAAAACTCTGCTTGCATTGCTAGGCAACGGAGGTTTAGGAAGTGACTCATTTTCCAGACACCAAAATCTATTAACTTACTGCCCAAAATGGCTGCCCGGGTTTTTTTCTTAAAGCACTTTAGCTGTTTTTAGAAGTCAAACGGAAGGACAGAAATGTGAAAAATGTGACTTTTTACGCAACAGATCCCTTTTAAACGGTTTAGTCAGCATGAAAGAAGAGCCAGAAGTGGGAAGAAGAAGGTGAGGAGGGTAAGTGTGTGAGATAGAGCTGATGGTCGGGGAGTTAAACTATCAGTGAGTCGAGGCTCGGGGTGAAGAGGAGGGTAAGGACTTTGCAGGATGCGCGGAGAACAGCAACGACTGATGTAAGGAGGGAATAACTGCTGAAAGCGTCAGGAAAGAGAGCGAGATAATTCAGAAATCACTCCAGTGAAACACGTAGCTTTATCTGGCTGTAGAGTGAAAAAAAAACTGACAACAGAGTGAAGAAAATAAAAAACTGGAGGAGAAAACCTTTCTTCATATCTCATGCATTAAGAAACACTTTGAGCAAAAATGTTGTGAAGTAAATATTTAGGATATACGTTTCTCAAATCACAGATGTGATTCAGAAATATTTTTATTTATTCCAAAGGGAAAATTAATACAGTTTTTCTTTTAAAGCTGTTTAAGTTTCCACCTCAGCGCTTCTACTAGTTCTCATTGGTGAAAGTTTGGAAAATATAGTTAGGAGGCGGAGCTTCATCTAGAAAGCGGAGCTCCATCTAGTAGGCGGAGCTTCGTCTAGAAGGCGGAGCTTCATCTAGAAGGCGGAGCTTCATCTAGAAGGCGGAGCTCCATCTAGAAGGCGGAGCTTCATCTAGAAGGCGGAGCTTCGTCTAGGAGGCGGAGCTTCATCTAGGCGGAGCTTCATAGAAGGCGGAGCTTCATCTAGAAAGCGGAGCTCCATATAGAAGGCGGAGCTCCATCTAGAAGGCGGAGCTTGTCTAGGAGGCGGACCTTCATCTAGGAGGCGGAGCTTCATCTAGAAGGCGGAGCTTCGTATAGGAGGCGGAGCTTCGTATAGGAGGCGGAGCTTTGTCTAGGAGGCGGAGCTTTGTCTAGGAGGCGGAGCTTCGTCTAGGAGGCGGAGCTTCGTATAGGAGGCGGAGCTTTGTCTAGGAGGCGGAGCTTTGTCTAGGAGGCGGAGCTTTGTCTAGGAGGCGGAGCTAGGTGCACCCAGGTGTTTTGCCCCTGAGTGGTTGCCATGGATACTAAACAATTTCTCCAAACATGCATCTAAAGCTCAAAAAAGTCGATTTTACAAAACACGCCCCGTTTAAGTCTCCCAGTCGGTTTTCAATGACTTCATCCAGCCTTTTTCCATCAATTCCTGTTGCCATTGTGGCAACGGTTTAGTTCAGCAACAAAAGGCAAAATGATAAATTACTATTTTGGATTTCTGGGAGCTTCGATTGAAATTTTCTAACAGATGCATATTAAGTCTTTGAAACGCTACAAACATTAAAAATCAGGAAGCAGAACACCGATTTATTCCTCAGTCCTTATTGGACTAACATAATACGAAGACAAACATCCTTCAGCAGAGCAAAGTGATTCAGTTCGCTGTGCACCTGATGTTGTTTTTTACTCTCAAAAGCCCAAAGGAACCTTCTGCTTCAAAGCAGCTCAGGGCCGGCCTCCAAAGGCATCATGGGAAATCTACTCAGGAGGTAAAGACGTTTCAAATAATTTATGGCTCAGAAAGAAAAAAATGGGGAAAGACTAAAGAAGCCTTGTCAGTGAAGAGCCTGAACAGCAGATTTTGTTAGAGAAAGTGCTTGAAAGTGGACATGTGGCTGTTATTAAAAGTTGTTTGGCGCCATAAAAAGCAGATCTGCCTCTGGTATCAATAAAAGTTGCAGGGAGCTGAAATAAACAGACTCTGTGCAGCTGATGTTTGTGCGGCTCAAGCTCCGCAGCGGGCTGAGATGCAGGACAGAAAAAAAGAGGTGGTTTTATCGTGTGTTTGAGAAGAAGCTTCCCCAGACCGACCTTGAAGTTTTCCTCTGTCAGCCCTTCATCAGTTTTGGCGCTTCGTATCATGGCGGCCACGTATCTCTTCACCAGACTTCGGATCACTTCCTGTTGATAAAAGTTGCAGGGGTTACTGCCATTAGAAGAACCTTTGCTTAAAACACAACAGTACCAAACACACACCCATGCTTTTAACGTTTCCACTGCAAAAACACAAAACCTTACCAAGGATTGTTGGTCCAGTTTCTGATGCAAATATCTTTTTACACTTGAAATAAGGCAAAACTGACGTACAAGTTACATAATGAAGAGGTAAAACCTTTGAAGCCAGCTCTATGTTTGCACTCACAGGTGAAAATGCCTGGAATTATACAACCGTACATCTTTGAAAAGCACAAGTGGAGCCTCCTGCGCAACCAACAAGAAGGCAGTAAAGTGTTTTCTGGATGGTAAGAAATCATTGTGCCAGAAATCATTGTGAAATCATTCCCTTGTGCTGCTCGGTAACGGCACCGGAGGGATTTTGAAATGGCCTTTTTTCCCAAAACATAAAAAAGATGAATTTATTGCCAAACAACAGCTGAGCACTTGGACCCAAATGTAAGTTTAAAAACATTCAAAATGTGAGTTTTACATATTACATGTCCTTTAAAACTTTAAATCAGTGAAATAAATCTTCTGCTGGCTCAGTTGTATAAAAACCAAGCAAGATTCCTTCAAACTTCTTTTCTTAAAATGTCATCAACGCTAACAGGCAACACGGTCCTTTAGCTGTTCTCATCTCATTAACCAATCAGCCAGTGATGTGGGTCAGTCCCATTGATTTACCGGCCCAAAAAAAAAAATCACAGGCATTTGGTGTGGAGTGGGTGGTAATTCAAAACCTGATACACACACCGGCCCACAGTCAACACTTGTGAGCGCCAAACGGGACGGTCTGGCATGCTGTCACTCAGCACCTCTGCCAAAAGCACACCACTCACTCTGCTAATGTGCAGCACACATTCCCACAACAAGCCTTTTAAAAGCATGGGAGGATATCAGAGGAACGATCAGCCGTGCCAAACACAAAGTACTGGCGCCTCATTATAGACGCTCCTGCCTCGGAAGATTTGTTGCACAAATTTCTTTTAAAAATCCCCTAAACCTGGACGGAGAGACGGCGGACTCAGCTGCCAGAAACAACCAACACTCTGAACATTAAACATTAAAGACAATCGATAATCTCATTCTGCTGCAGCTCTTTATGTGGCTGAAAACTTGTTGGGAGTTTTACATGCAAACTTTGTTTTTGGAAAAAATATTGAAAGGCAAATCTGAAGCGAATGAGTTTGATGTTGTTCCAGTTACAGGGACGGGCGACTGTTTGTCTCAAAGGACCAGAGAAGAAGCCGTGAATGTCGGTGGGAGCCGATTCAATGGCTGAAGGATTTTCTTCCAAGTGTCCATTTGATAATAAATGCAGATATAATTTTTCTATCTTATTCTGCCAGCAGCAGACATTGCAGCTGAACAATGACAGTTTGCTAACAGCTAAACTCTTCAGGTCTCAGTTTGTGCTTTTCCTCTTTATTCAGATGTAAAAAAAATCCTTTTTCATAGATCGACTAAAATTGATTATGTACTGCAGCAGCGCACCTGTCAAGATGCTTTTAGTTAAACTTTTTCTCAAATTGCAATTCCTGAAACGCCAGCTTTAGAAATGTATCTATCAAATAGAAACCTACGGAAGAGGATTAGTGCCAATGAGGAAAAAAGAGAATTGTGAGGTTTTTTTCTCAGAATTCTAACTAAATTTCAAAATTATGAGAAAAATCAAAATGCTGAGAAAAAAATCAGAATTATTATTTTTTCAGTGGCTCTAATCCTCTTCCATAGAAAACTGATATTTTACTTGGATATTTTATTATCCAGGCGAAGAAGTGTCAAAAATGTCATTTCTTTTGACATTTATTGAGAAATGTCAGAGAAAGTTTTCAAAAGGTTCATTTTTTGATTCCACAAATGCAAATTATTGGTTTACAGTTCACGAATGATATCATCAGCCTTCAGCATAAATAAGGTTCAATTGTTCAGAAGGATTTGAACACAAGTTAATGAAATAAATACATAAATTTAATTGCAACAAACTTTAATTTCTTGGTAATATTTTTTTTAAATACTTTTTGCTGATTAAAAAAATAACTCCAGTGAATGCTGAGTGACTTCATGAATCTGAAATGTGTGTAAATCTCATCTATCGAGTGTTTCTCTCCTCTGCCAGCGGCTGACTGGTTGAGTCACAACGCTTTGACTTTAAGAGCAATCTCAACAAGCGGTCACCTGAAGAGTAATTAATTTAGTAGCAGCCTTCTCTTTCAGCACAAACAAAATGTGATTGGCTCAGCTGGGGACATCTAAACCTGTTAGCTAATTGTGTTTACTTTCACTTAGACCCTGAAAGAAACAATTACTGTCTTTTAAAATTTATTTATTAAAAAACAAAGAAAAAAATAGAGAGAGCGAAGTGGAGGAAGCTGTGCTGAGACGATGATGTCAGAGTGAATCAAAATGCTGATGATGTTTATTAGACTGAGGACTTTTTAATTTCTCCTTATGTGCCATTATCAATAATGTTTGATGCCAAGAGATTTATTTATTTATTTACGGGATGGATGGATGGATGGATGGATGGATGGATGGATGGATGGATGGATGGATGGTTGGATGGATGGATGGTTTGTTGGTTGTATGGATGGTTTGTTGGTTGGATGGATGGTTTGTTGGTTGGATGGATGGATGGTTGGTTGGATGGATGGATGGATGGATGGTTGGTTGGTTGGATGGATGGTTTGTTGGTTGGATGGATGGTTTGTTGGTTGGATGGATGGATGGTTCGTTGGTTGGATGGATGGATGGATGGATGGATGGTTCGTTGGTTGGATGGATGGTTTGTTGGTTGGATGGATGGATGGATGGTTTGTTGGTTGGATGGATGGTTTGTTGGTTGGATGGATGGATGGTTCGTTGGTTGGATGGATGGATGGATGGTTGGTTGGTTGGATGGATGGATGGATGGATGGTTTGTTGGTTGGATGGATGGTTGGTTGGTTGGATGGATGGATGGTTGGTTGGTTGGATGGATGGTTGGTTGGTTGGATGGATGGTTGGTTGGTTGGATGGATGGATGGATGGTTGGTTGGTTGGATGGATGGATGGATGGATGGTTGGTTGGTTGGATGGATGGTTGGTTGGTTGGATGGATGGATGGATGGTTGGTTGGTTGGATGGATGGTTGGATGGATGGATGGTTCGTTGGTTGGATGGATGGTTTGTTGGTTGGATGGATGTCTGGTTGGATGTTTAGTTTTTTCTGATTTAGTCCATCAATCTGTGAATTCAGATAAAACTTCTATTGTTTTTAAATCTAACATATTAAATATTTCATGTGATTTTCTTCCTTCAAACCAAGAGCTCATACTAACCAAATCCATATAGATGGTTTTTACCTTTTTCTCTGACACAATGAATATAAAATGATCATAACTGGCTGAAGGAAACAGATTTGAATATTTGCACCTTATATTTTTTCTCAGTAAGCGATGGCAGCTGAGGAGCCGTTACGAGTTTCACTGACCTGGTAATGCTGGTTCTGTATCAGGCTGTCAGCATGGCGCTCCTGTGAACAAACGAAGGGGAATGTTAATATAAAAATAACACAATGCATCTGCATTTATCACCACATCTCTGCTTCTTCCTCTCTGTTATTATTATTATAATGATTATTAATATTCTCCTGCCCTCTTCCACATCTCCCTCAGTCTCCTCTGCTCCCATCATTCTTCTCAGGAAAGTTGATATTTCACACAGAAGTCACTACGAGATTAAATGCATTCACCTCCATCTCCTACAGCTACCAAACCACAACAAAGCGAAGGGATGACAGATTGCATTAGGCTGAAAGAGCCGGGAGCGGCCATATTGTAAAGAGTGATGGACTCTGGGTAATCATTTCTCACCATTAAACATTGATACAGACATCATGTCGAGTAAATGTACACCCTGGTCTAAAACTGGCTGCAGCAAAAAGCCTTAATCTGGAATATGAATATATTCTGTTTAGAACACAGGTGTCTAAAAGTGTGGCGCGGGGGCCATTTGTGGCACCTGAAGTGATTTTATATTGCAATGACACATATTTGTCCCCCCATTTAGGAGGATGTATGTATAACAATCTTCTTTTAATTACATTATTAAAACAGTTTCAAATAAAGAGAGCCCTAAATCATGATTTATTGCTGAGAATAGATTAAATCTTTCTCAGTTTTCTCCAGTCGAACCCAAACTAAATTAGTAAAGTGGTTGCCTTTCTTTCAATAACAGAAATATTCAAAACCCTTTTGAAATTTTTGATCTACAGTGATTTACATATTCCTTTACAACAACAAAAAACACTCCAAGTATTTTCTCTGTTGCATTCAACAAGAATGCAGCAGGTGGTTTCTAGATGGTAATTCAACATCAAAACACTTATCCATTCATCTAATGGAGGCGTCACTTGCCTCAGTTAAGGTCAAAGTTTATGATCCAAAAGAAAAATGGTCTCAAAGGAAGAAAAGAAAACATGAGAGACTGTCTCACAGTAAAAAACCTTCTCATAACCAAAACATTTGAGAACATAATCTGAGGATTTATAACTTGAACTGTGATTCTGACGTTTTACCGCATTAATGCTGCCTTGAGAAAAATAACAAGGGTTTGGGGTGGCCTAGTCAAAGTCTGGACTAAAATCTGATTTAGATGCTGAGAAGAAACCCTAAACATGCCAGATTTGAAACGACTTCCTGTTGCCACTTTTTAACATAAAAACGTAATCAACGTTTAAATGCTGCTTTTAACATTTACTCTCATTATATTTTATTAAAATGTCTAATAATTTGAAATGTGACAGGGAATGAAACCAAACCAAGCTGCTAACAACAACCTAATTCTTCAGAGGTTTGGAGTAAATCTCATCCAAGAGCAACACTGAAGTGTGAAAAACTACAATTACCTCCAACAGAAATTCATTGTTTTCACGTTTCAGGCTGTTGAGTTCAGTTTTCCATGTTCATTTTAATTTCTGCTCAGTTTAATATTCAGTGTTTCACACTCATCTGTCCTCTCTTCTTCCTGCTGTCTGCTAACGAAACACTGACACATTTGTATCTGCAGCCGTCCTCCCCACATCTTTCCTTACTGGACAATCTTTGCTTTCGGTGTCTCATGCCGCTCTGATGCTTACTCTCTGATCATGCACATAAACACAAACTCTCTCCTGCGATCAGATCTCTGCAGAGCTGTGTGCCTCTCTGAACCTACGTGGGCTGGTTGGCTTATATAACTCAGCTGACTTCAGTTGAGGTGAACACGCCAGCTGCAGTCAATGTGTGTGTGTGATGGTGTGAAAAAGCCTTATCAGTGTGTGCCGATGGCTCTCGGTGTCTCTCCAAATGACTGGACTGTTGCATGTGTTTATCAGGACATGTTCATCTGTCGATGTTCCTTCTGGACTTCCAGACACACAGCTGATGCCTGTCGTGTGGTGGGACACTGTTTCTGCAGAATTACTGCCTTTAAACGTCTCAAATGCACTTTGAAATGCCTTGTTTCTGAAATGTGCGATTCAAATAAAATTTGATTGATCTCGTGTGACAGTTTGCCAGAATCTCATCTACAGCAGCAAGAGCTCAGTGTGAGAATCAGGGAAAAACGTACTGAAGTATTCAAGCTAATTGGTTTGAGTGAAATGCACAGAATGTAGCCAAGCTAACAGCTATAAATGGTAAAGCTAACAGCTATCACTAATCAAGGTACCAATAATCCATAGTCAAACTAGCCACTACCCATAACCAAGCTCACAGATATTCAGAGTAAAGCTAAGAGTTATCCATAATCAAAGTAGCCACTACCCACAGAAAAGCTAACAACTTTACATAGACAAGCTAGCAATAATCCATAGTCAAACTAACCACTACCCATAGCCAAGCTAATAGCTAACCATAGTCACAGTATCAACAATGACTGAGAGTGAAGCTAAAAACCATCCATAATCAAAGTAACCACTATCCACAGTAAAGCTAACAGCTATCCATAGTCAAGCTAGCAATACAATTAGTCAAATTACCCACGACTCATAGTAAAGCTAACAGACAGCCGTAGTCAAGCTACGTATTGACTGACTGATAGTCAAGATAACAACTATCTAGAGTCAAACTAAACATTATGAAGCTATCTATAGCAGAGCTAACAGCTACTTATAGACAAGCTAATGGCTGCAACAGCCAAGTTAACCACAGCCAATATAACAGCCATCCATAGTCAATCAAACAGCCAACATAGTCATGGTTATAATCAAAGGTTTGCATGAATCAGATTAAAAATAAAAAAGAACTGTTCATTGTTCAAGAGAGTACACCAAGTGTAGGCTAAACAGGAAATGAAACCAGCAGTGATCAGGGAAATTAGAGTCTTACATAAAAAGCTTTATCTTGTAAAAATGTCTAATAAAGCGTTCGACTGATTTGCAAGGAAAGATTTGACCTGACAGAAATTTACCCATGAAGTCTGATTTGAGATGTTGAGTCCTTCATGAGAATTTCTCTCTTCCTGAACTGTGATCACTTTCAAGTAAAACACTGACTGTGCAGAAATACCCAAAACAATCCAAATCAAGCAGCCATAATAGTTAAAGTCGCGTCGCTCAACTAGTTATTGACGTGACTTCAATAACTAATTGGATTTATGATTCTTTCATTAAATATGTCCTGAAAATATAATCCCATCTCCATCAATAAACGAAATTGAAAAATAAATGCTAACATAAAGTTACATGAACATATTTAGCTCTATTTTTACCTTAAGAATGGGGAAAACATTTATCTATTAATCGGACAAGCTTGTATTTCTGCTCAGTGCTGTTGGGTCAGTGCAACCCGACCAGGCTTCTGCCAGAGGCTGTTTAGGAGGTTAATCATTTAGCAATTTGTTATTTTTTCTGCTGCAGCATTTATCAGGGCTGCTAACCACAATTGCTTTCTTTCTGATTAAATGCAGCTGTAAATCATAATAATCTGTTTTCCATCAAATAAACCAGCCCAGTCAATGTAATCAAAATAAAAAGAGCCGCAGCAGCAGTTCGGTCTGTATAATCAGAGCCCAATTAATCAAGACGCTGCATGAAGCATAAATATTGTTTTAGGCTAATTAGAGCCAGCAACAGAAGATTTAAACATCATAAAACTTCCTTTAGATCCACTGTTTTAAATCTTTTTTATTTGACAATATTAATGAATTTCCATAAAACATTCCTAAATATGGTTTTGACTTTTAAGTGTTGCTGGTTTCCACTTATTTGTCTTGCAGTTTTTCTCTGTGGCTGCGAGTCGATCGTCATCCAGCATTTTGTGTTGCTTTCTAATATTTTCTTCGGCTCAACTTTTCTCATTAAATAACTGTCGCTGCTGATGCAACGCGCTGAATGCAGCGTGATTTATGGTTCGGAGTTGATTGTTTGGAAATGTGACCTCCTTGGATTACACACACTGTTTCATAACAGCCTCAGCAGCAGCTCATAATTCCTATATTATGGGTGTAAATGAAGGCTGCAGTGGAAAAACCAGACACCGCTCTGCTGGAAAATGTTGCTTCTTTTGTTTTTTATTTTACTACAGGGATAGAAAAACAACAATTTAGTATTTAAATGCTTCCTTTAATAGCTGGGTGTCAAACTGATTTTCATTTTGGGCCATCAAGATTGATAAAAATAATTAACAACTCTGCATTTGATACATACTTTAAATAATGTTGAACATATTTTTACTCTGATGAATCTCTCCAGGATTTTATAATTATTTTTGCAATCAAAATCACTAATTTAGAAATATTTGGAGGAGATTTTACACTTAACTTGGTATTAAGTAAGACTGAGGCAACTTTATCGTAAAAGTAAGAAATACTGCCACCTGCAGGTGGGAGTTAGCGATGATAACTAAAGCCCAAAGTCTGACCATTTTCTGTGTAAAATTGGCAATAAACTCACGATTATGAATTCGCACAAAAACAAGAGAGATTGATCATGTAAATAAAATAAAATAATAAAAAAGAGATAAAATGAGCAAATGACAGAAACTCAAAGATGCAAACAAGTGTTTATTATCTTGTGTTGACAATAAATCAGTACCAAAATATATATTGTGATCAAAATCAATAATAGCAATAATACGTTCGAAAAAAAAAAGTAATTTAACTGAACTCCGATCCAGAAACGCACAGAGTCAGAGGAAAGGTTTTGGTTTTTCGGTCTCTCACGGCCAGCTAAGCTAGCTAGCTGGAATCAACAGACCCACTCATTCTCTGGTTATCTAGCAACGACCTGCTGAGTAAAACTGCAGTTGAAGGTTTTGCCTCATAACTGCGTGAAAATAAAAAACAACAAAATGGAGCCAGAACTCAATAAAATTTGGCAGGATTTCAGATATTTGAAACAAAAAAAAACCCCTAATCAATAATGATATGAAACATTGTGACAATAATCTGTGATTCTCAGATACTCACGGTGAACTCTCGAAGGTTTCCGCATTTGTGCGAGGCCTCTCCGGGCGGCTGGCCTCTCCTGCACAGCTTGTTGTGGAGCCACATCAGGAGGTACCAGAAGGACTTTGGGCTGGGGATGATGTTGAAGGGAGGGGGCAGCGTGCCGCCCTCGTCGAAGTAGCTCATCCACAGCTTGGTGCGGGCAAACTTCCACTCGATGTCGGCGTGGTCCTGCAAAACCAGAAGAAACCTCTTTAATCTGGAACATTTCTTCGGCTTAAATCAGTGACAGGAGCTGCGTTTCCGTTGACAGGTTGGACAATTTGACATTTCAAAGATAAATTTGTTTAATGGAAACACGGCAATTTAAAAAAAAAAAAAACAAGTAAAAGTGAGGTGGTTTTCTTGCCCATATCAAATTGGTTGATCTGGCAAAACCACAATGGAAAAACGTTTTTCCTGCATCGTCACATAATCAACAACCGCATGTTACTACTGCCGGAAACAACAAAGAAGAAGGCAACAGGAAGTGGTAGGAAACTGATGGCCGAGCATAACTTTTAGCGAGTTATTGTGTGAAAATATATGATATTAATTAAGTTTCTTATTTAATGAAAACAATCACAACTCAAAATCAAAGGTGTCAACAGTGGTAAAGGAGCCCAGTTCAGATCCCAGAACTAACCTAATATTTTATTGCAAATGTAAGAACACAAAAAAACATAAAATCTCATCATGTATGTCTGACTAGTTCTGGTGCAAATATCTTGGAAAATTACAAATAAGACAAAACTAACTAACATTACTTTTCTGCATATTATTTCACTTAAAACATGTAAAAATGCCATAAAACTAGTACTTAACCTATACTGAATAATTACTGACTGAAAATTAACTTGTAAGACAGTTTTGAATATTTAACAAGAATTTAACTAGAATATTTGATAGCTGTTAGCTTTACTATAGTGATTTTGAGTTTTTGCAGTGTATGGCCTCCAACTGAAAAACACAACAAACCAAATAGAAATAATTATTAAAGGTATTTCATTCGTGGACACGTTTCAGCTTGTGACTCACAGCGATGAGTTGGTAGGAGTTGTTCATCATGGCGATGAGCATGTTCAGCAGAACCACCAGAGAGATGACGTTGTACGTCCCGAACATCGTCGCCCCGACGAACTCGGTGAACTCGTGCCGAGCTTTCACGTTGGTGACGTAAAGGTTGAGCAGCCCAAATATGGACCAGAAGAGCGACTGGAGAGTCTCAAATAACCTGAAAGGGACCAGAAGTAAGACAATTAATATGAGATTGACATAAAGATCCGGAGGGAAGGTGAGAGGATGAATCATAAATAACTTTTGATGTCCATAACTCTGAGAGCTCACAGGATTTTCATTAAAGTAAACAATGATAAATGGTCAAAACATGACATTCAAAACTGTGACACCATCTCTATTTGAAGAGGATTTTTAGAAATCTTTAGAAATTATGAGAAATTAAAGCTTGGAAACAATGTTTTTTTCCATATTTTATTCCATTTCTGAAGGCAAAAAACGTAACAATGCAGAATATTCCTGCGCTTTTCTGTACTGTAGCATATTTCTGGAGACACAGCACATTGTATAAATTACAAATATTGAGGAGATTATTTTCAACCTGTGCACTAATGTTTGTATCAAAGAAATAGACTGACTTGGCTGCTGCAGCACCAAGTTTGAGTGCAGAGAGAAGCTTAAACTCTGGTCACTCATTTAAATTTCTGTTTTTATGGACATTTTGTACAATGAGTCAAATTGTGTCTTTTCAAAACCAACTTACCTAATCTAGTATTTAGTGGATATATCTTATTTACACTTTAAATAAGACAAAACCAGCTTAAAAGTAACTTATCAAGATATAGAAGCTTGTTTTAAGTAAATAATTCCTTAATATTAAAGTGCAGAGATAAGTTATAAGATAAATAATCTGCCAATAGAACCATTTCCTTTTCATCGATATTAAGAAATTATTCTCTTAAAACTAGCTCCTATTTCTTGGCAAGTTACTTTTAAGTTAGTTTTGTCTTAATTCAAGTGAACCGAAATATTTATGCAGCAAAACTCAAAAAAGTACTTGGTAGTATTTTGTGTTTTTGCAGTGAAAAAACAGAAAACACTTTTTTTTTTAGTATTGGATTTACATTGAGTGACGTCCTTTCCCTAAAAAATACAAATAAACCAAATAATAAATAAAAATTCACCTTTATTGTTATTTTCCTGATTTGATCCTTTTGATACAAAGTTTGGACACCCAAACAATGTGAACATCCTCGCCTAAAACCTCCCGCCCTTTGAAACCAAGAAGCTCGAGAGAGAATTTCAAAGTCGCTTTTATTGAGATAGAAAAGCAGAAAATTTCCTGATCCAGACTCGGAGAGGCAGCTCCATGTTTCCCTCCTGCTTTCTGAGTTGTTGTCATTTTTCCCTCCCTGATCTCTTTCTCCATCCTTCGTCTTTTGTCTCGTCTCTCTGTCCTCTGCTTGCCTTCGCGTGTCTCTTTGTGCGGCCGTCACTGTTACAACTGCGGTTGCTGAATTTTTGATGAAGCAACAATTGGCGGCGCTCGACGCTACATCAAGAGAACGACACCGACGAGGGGAAGGCTCTATATTTATACAGCATGAAATATTCAGGGATGCAGCGGGTATTCTCATTGTGGTGAACAGCAGGACTGTTGCGTTGCAGGAACATTTGATCAGTCGGTGCACAGACTGTTTCTCCCTCACAGAGCATCATTTGAGAGATGGTGCGATGGTGTATGCAGGTGAAATTTGTAAGTCAGGGAGGTGAGAGGCTCGGCGTGTTGTGGAAGAAACGAAGGGAATTAAATCAACGACGAATGAAGCAGCCGAGCGTGTCGGTTATGAAATGGGAAAGATGGGAGGACGACAAGAGAAAGGGATGAAACTCCCATCGTTTTTGTTTTATTATTTCAATTATTCCCCAGTTTTCACTTCATGGTGCCATTCATAGACATTTCATAGCAAATAGTTACCGCCTGATTCAGGCAGTCATTTTGATTCAGGTGTTTGGTTTTCCATATGATCTAGGTCTGAAATAATGTCGATTTTTATAATATCAACAATTTCTCTGTATATCTGGGATATATTTGGACTAATGTACGCTTTCTAGCCGAAGTATGGTATGACATTATAGCACAATTATAAAAATGCTATTATATATTTAGATATGTATATCTCAAAAACAACTTAGAAATTGGGCCTCTGTCTCTTTAAGAAGCTCCTACTCTCTCTGTCACTCATCATTCTTCACCACGTTGCTTCTCCATGAACTCTTTGGAGTGTTGGACTGAGAGCGAGTTCGTATGATGAGCTCAGCAGACTCTCAGTTTGTCACAGAGCAAGACAAAGGAAGCTAAGAAAAAGAAAACACAACTAACAGCACAACAATAATCTGATTTAGTACCACATACTGACAAATCAGATTTTAGAGGTGAAAAGATTCAAACTGAACCACTTTACTCTTCCGTTAAATCAGATTTGGGTCACATGGAGTTCAGTTTCATCTGAGCAAAAACTCAATTCTTAAAGACCCAAAAGATTTTAATGATCTCCACTCATTTATGTTTGTGATGGTGGGAAAGAAAAAGTCTTTCCAAAAACAAACACTTAGGTTGAATTAAAAAATGAGGCAACTTTACCTGAAGGGGTGTGCATGAGTGACATCACACCAGAGGTCGCGTTGATGCAACATTTTCCGCATTTGACCGGTTATTTTTTTAAACGACGTTTGTTGGTCATTTGCCAGGTTATAATTAAAACCCCTGACTGGTGCGCAGGCGCAAACATTATAGACTTTATGCAAGGATTTTATCGCAGAAAAATAAATCGCTAAAAAAATTGTGAAGCTGTGCGTTCAGACTGCAGCAGCTGAAGAGCTGGTGATTTAAGTGGAGTCGTTTAATTAAATTTTATTATAAGTTATTATAATTGACTAAACCGTATAAAAACGCGACTATTTGACGGGTAAAAACAGCACATGACCGATTTTTTAAAATGCACTGCTATCAGTATGATGGAGTCTTCAGAAATGGTTACAACCATAGTCGTCCAGAGTAAATAATGACACTTTTAATGCAAATTTCTATTAAAACTTCCATTAAAAATCTATTAAAAGTATCAAAGTGACACTTCATGACGACAGTCAAAGATTTCTGAAGACTCCTTCATCAGGTTGTTACATCATGTTTATGATCCGGTTGGACAAAGTGTTGCAAAAAGACGAGCTTTAAATAATCATCCTTTAACCAGTGACCACGTCCTCCATGTCCCTCCTCCTCTCCCCCTCGTCTCCCAGCCAGCTGGCTCCTCTTCCTCTCCTGAGTTCTCCTCTCATCTCTCACTCCACTAAGCCGAGTCATAAACTGCTCCAGCTGATCCTCGCAGCCACTCAGTCATTTCACTGTTATACTTCTGCAGTTTATGTGGGAGGTGAACCGAGAAGAGACGCAGTGTGTGCGGCGCATTCGCTTTTTCTGTGTCAGAAAACAAAGCGCGCCCGTGTGTTTACACTCGGCAAACCGACCTCGTGGAGTTAATTCACTCCGCTGTACGGAGCTCGTCTTTTGTAGGAACAACAACGTTTATGTGTTTTCCAGCAGACTGGGGACTAAAAACTGGAGCTTTTTGGTGCCAAATCCTGACTAAAAAGACATATGAGCTCAACAACAAAGAAATGTATTGTTTTTAATGTTATTTCAACCATCAGGTTTATATTTAGGAACATCTGATCAATTATTTAACTTTTCCTGGAAGTGTGGCAACTCAAATTTAAACCTTTTAAGACAATTATGAGTGGATGTAAGACTTACATCACAACAGAAATGTATGAACGTCATCTAGCAAAATGGCAAAAAAAAAAAAAAAAAGAAGCTAGGTAGCTAGCTAGCTAAATTAGCAAGTAATTAGCGCCTGTAATTCAAACATCTTGAATTACACAACACAATGAAGACGATTGAGTGTGACTCAAACTTTCGCCTGACAGAAAATTACAGCGAGAAAAACTAAATACATACAGCATACAAGGCTAATTATTTCTGCCAAAACATAGTTTAAGATCTGGGATTTAACATATTAAAGATGATCTTACTTTTAAAAATGAATTTAACAAATATGGACACCTTGTTAAAGGTATCAGTCAGGATGTGGATATGAACATAGAGTTATTTTTAAATGCTAAATGAACACCGTCTACCACAAATAAGAAATAGGTTCTAAAGTTTAACAGCAGACATGTAATTAGCATTAGCATTTGTATTCAGGACATCTTTACTAGCTGCTACATCTTTAGCAATGAGAAGCTATTTTAGCCATGAATAGCTTTGCTAGTATGCTAAGTCTTTTTAGCACAACTTGGACACAACAATAGTCTTTTCCAGCATCCAATCAGATCAATTTTAGAAGTAAAATTTAACCCCTCGTGAACTAAAAGAAACAACTTTGTCATCCATCGTTGTTAGCGGAGGCAACAGATTTAGTGGCAATTCAGAAACGTGAAAATACGAAGGCTCTGACCAAGAAACAACAAAAAAAGTTTTATTGGGGTTAAAATTTCTAATGCTTTAAAAATGCAGAACTAATTAAGCAATTTTTGTTAATGACTTGTTGTCGTTATTACAAATTGAACTAAATTTTAAACTAAATATAAAACAGTTACATTTAAAATAACAGTAAGGCGTTTTAAAAACATTATTTCATATAAACAATTTAACCTAACCTGCAGGTTCTGCAAAATCAGGGGCAAAAATAAAGTCAGATGTTTTTGACTCCATCCATAAAAAAAAATTAATGCAGTCATTGGTTAATGGACCAGAAAAATTATGCATTGTCATGCATCTTATTGTCATGAGATGCATGACAATTTATATACAATTCAATAAAAAAGGACAAACTTTATGTAAAACAAAAAACAGATAATAAGTAGTTAATTCTATCCAAAATACAATGAAATTAAAATTAAAAATTGTGGCTTTACTAAGTGACTATAAAACAACTTTGTGCAGAATAACACACCTCAATAATTCTTCGGTTAACTTGCCTTTTAATCATCAGTAAAACAAATAGTTGGACTAATTATTTCAATGTTTACAACTGAGATGTTTCATTCGGTTTGATCAAGCAGAGTCTGCAAACCCCAGAGAAAGAGAGCTTTGTGTGAAAGTAAATAGACCGCAGAGTGTGAAAGAAAATGAGAGATTTTACAGGACTTGTGTGAAGGGAAAGGAGAGAGAGACACACACATGTATGATCGCTGCTTGTGTGAAGCAATCTAACACATTAGTGGTGATAAGTGTGTGAAGTACAGATGAGTGAGAGGAGGAGGAGGGAGATGAGACACCTGAGCAGAAACAGGAAGTGATCCTGTGAAAAAACCTCCAAAATTATAAGTGTGTGAATTAGAGAGTGAAAGGCACACACACACGCACGCACGCACGCACGCACACACACACACACACACACACACGCCGACAGAGAAGAGGAAATAATCCTTGCATTGTAAACTCATGAATAATGATGCAGACCGTGCTGCCTGCGGGACTGCAATCACTCCGTTTGCATAATGCGTCATCTCAGCTGTCTCCTCGGCATGCTGCATGCTCATTTGGCTTCAGCGTGACGCTGATTTCTGTCCCACAGCTTCTGGTCCTGCAGCAGCCAATCAGAGCTGATGTACCGGAGTTACACCATGAGAGATCATTTCTTCTACCGGCGCTTAGTCAGGGCTTTCAGCAACTCAAATTCAAGCCCTTTAAAGGCCACTCAGAATGAAATTTGAGACCTTTATTGCTACAGAAATGTACAAACTTCATTCAGCCAACTGACCCAAAAAGCTAGCGAGCTAGCAAGAGTACATTAGCAGCTAGTTAGCGAGTCACAGAAAGTATTTTTCTGTTGCATTCAGACAGAAAGTAAAAGTAAATGTAATATGTGATATTAAATAGTCCTATAAAGAAAATGTTAAATCTGTCACTAACACATTAAAGGCTTTTCCAAATGAATTTAAGACTTTTTAAGGCCTTTATTTTAGATGCATGAATAAATGACTTTTTAAGGACTTGTGGAGACCCGGGAGTTGTTTTTAAATGCTTAATAAAAAACATGATATGCATCCATCTGATGTCTCGCACAAATAAACCCACAAAATAAGAAGTAAGTTCTAAAGTTCATTTGGTATTTCACCTGAAAAACATTTCTGTAGATTATTACCTAAAATTTCAAAGTAGCAAAAAGAACACTTTATAAAACTTCTTCATTTAGTAATATAATTTGATATATGCTTCCTTGCTGGTTTTCATACAAGTATTTGACAAAATGTAATGTTTATTGCTGGTTTTGTGTCTTTATGATGAAGCTGGAGTTGCCTTTTTCATTAAAAATGACACAAATTAACTTGACGTTTACACAAAACTTTGGTATCTTCCATGATTTGTTTCTCTGAAAGCATCAAGACTTTAGGTTCAGTAGAACAAATGCAACATTTATCTCGTGCAGAAGTAAATAATAATCTGGTGACGACTACATTTGTTTAGAAATTATCTTTTCTTTGCGTCGTTAATGGAGCAGAAACTGTACAACGTTCAGTTTCTGTGATCTGCTGTTTCAGCTCACCTCACAGCTATTGTACCGCATCTTTTACTGTAATGGAGTCGATAGCAGATCAATAACACTATTATCCAAAACAAACCACTTTCCTCATCTAAATTCCTCCCACTGACTCTACTGTTCGCTCCCTCAGCAGCAGCATCTCACTCTGCTAAACCTTCACGCGGCTTGAAGAATAAAGGTACAAAACTAGAACACTACAATATTTTCCACATCATTATCTGGAAAACTGAGGCTTTCAATGGGTTTGTGAGAGTCAAAGTCAATTGATTTATCTGCAATTGTCCACTAGAGGGCGCCTGATTATTACCAGGAGCATTAAGGCTAAAGAATGGAAATATTTCACTAAAAATGAAACTGGTTCCCAGTTAAAACCATCAGATGTGGGCAGCAACAGGTTACCGTAAACTTGAGTAACTTTTATAAAACGCTGTAGCCATGAGGAATAGATTCACTGAACACATTTTCTTCTTCTTGAGTGATATTATATCACGTTGAAATAAAGCTGGAATTTCTTTACTGAATGAAAAACAAACGCGCTTTAAGCTTTACAGTTCTGTTATTTTCTATGTGCTGAAACTGTTGATCCATTTCAAGGTCAAGTTCTGTCCTAATATTAAATACTTTTAAGTATTGGCTTCAAAAGCTTTATGTAGTAAAAAAAAACAAAACAAAATGATTTGGAAATTTATCTTCTGCTCTCATTTACTATCTTATTATTATATTAAATATTTATTTTCAATTCAAAATTACTTTATTGGCTGAAATGTCATTTAATAATTGCAAACAGGTCGGATCTCCTGTAGTGGTCAGTATTACAGCGACACTGAAGATGCCTCTGACTAAAGAAATTGTTGTTGTGCCATTATGAGTTGCCCAAACTTATCATAATTATTCAATGAATTTTACTGAAAAGCTGACTTTGTTGCACTCAAACCTGCTTTTAATTCATTTATTGGTGAATATTTCCAGACACCAGAAAACATTAACTACTTTCAAAAGCAGTGGAAACTCAAATGGAAGTTTAAAAAAATGTGAAATTTGATTAATATATCTCACTTCAGCTGTCGCTTTAAATAAATTACCGGTCACACTTACAAAATGCTGATTAAAAAATGACAAAAGTATATTTTACATCCCCCAAATAAACAAAAACTTCCAGTATCTAAATAATGAATAATAAAAACAGACACTAGCAGAGCACGCTAACTTTTGCAGCATATTTTAAAGCTTGAACTCACGTGGAGAAGGCGTTGTTCTGCCTCTCGCAGCGGATCCCCTTGCAGTTGTTGGGTTCTTCTGAAGCCTTGGTCTCGTAGTAGAAGTACAGCTGGTTGAGTCCGTTAGCAAACGCTAACAGAACCTGCGCATGAAGATACACAAAAACACACATTTAATCTGTTTTCTTCAGCTAAAATGGACTTACAAGGAACCTTTCAGCAGGCTGTAGAGGCTTGTTTTAAGCCGACAATTTTTAAACATTGAATAAAAAGTTAAACCGAGTTCTACTTCTACTGGCAGTTTATTTCACTCATAAGAAGATGTTATAATCTGCAAACAGCGCTGGTGCTTTTCCATCCATATTAAGGACTTAAAACAAGCCTCCATCCCGCTGAAAAGTTATTTTTAAGTTAATTTTGTCTAATTTCTGTAAGCTTTGGTGTTTTTGCGGCGTGCATCTCTCCAGGCACTTTTTAAGCACAGCTTTGATCTCAGACAGAACAAAAGCTGGAGTGACGTAGAAGGAGCCTCAGGCCCACCATGATTGTTTTGGAGCCCACAGGGAGGCGAAGCAGCCCACATGTGAACTGAGTTTTAGGTCAGGAGCTCCCTGGAGAAGGAATTAATAAATGCTAACCGTCGTGATGCAGACCTGCAGCATCTGCTGGTTAGAAATTCAAGGATTCAAGATGCAATGATGAACTCGGATCTGAACCTTCAAAGCCATAAAGTTAGAGTTACAAAGTCGGCCTTCTACCACCTGAAGAACCTGCAAGAGCCAGAGAAACTCATCAATGCGTTTGTCTCTAGTTGATTACTGCAAGTGTCTTCACAGGTCCAGAACGCTGCTGCTGGAGTTCTGACTAAAACCGGCAAGAAGTCCCAACACCGGACTTTAAATATATCTTAACAAGACGTTGAAGTCCTGCTGTTGTTGTACCAACCTCCCAGAAGAGTATTTCTATTTCAGGATTTTCAACCCACTGAATGAAAAACAAACATGGTTTAACCAAAACATAACCAGACACACGCCTGCTGCGTTTGTTAAAGTTCAAGTTTTCATTGAAAGAAACTGGTTTTGAAAAAGTTTGTTTGGCCTGATTTTGTTATTTTTTGCTACTTATCTGAATTATTGTCATTATAATCCTTAAAATACCAACATTTCCACTTAACTTCATATATTGGTCCGTCTGATTATGTAATTTTTAATATTAAATGGTTGATAATTTGATCAATTACTTGAGTCATCAAATATTTTTTACTTGAGTGCAATTTTTAGGTACTTTACCCACCTCTGGTTTTTATGATTTTGAACTGCCTTGCTGCTGAAACGCAAAAAAACTCAATTGATTGATTTTCCAAGGAAACATCATTTTCTTCTGTCATTTGAATGCTAACAGGATACACTGGAAGCTTATTAGGTCCGCTAAACTGGTGTGAGAGCGACAGCTGAGATATATGAATGGAAACAGGGAAAGTTAGCAGCGATTAGCGGGAAGTCATTAAAAAAAAGCAACACCTAATGAGCTTTCTGTTCCATGTGCGCGGTCGTGACGATGCCTCACCAGACAGTAAATGAAGAGAAACTTGAGGATGTCCAGCAGCATCCTCCCCAGAGAGATCTGCAGAGGGCCGAGGTGGGAGTTGGCCGTGAAGAGGGAGATGAGTCTGAGCGAGCTGAAGATGTTGGCGATGGCGAACAGAGCCTCGGCGATCAGCGTCGGGTGCCACATCTCCCACTCCTCCCTGGGACGAGAGGAGTTGTACTGGAAGGAGAGGAGGAAGGGAAGCGGTCGGTTTGACTTCAGACAGGTATAACAAAATCGGTCCAGCATCTTCTGTCTCGTTGTTACGGACGGCAACAGGAACGCGACACCTTAAAACACCGATAAACGTCTGGAAACGGCTTCATGATGAAACTAAATAAATTCGAAGAATAAATAAGCAAATTTCGACAAACTCCAGGTCTGTAGTGTTGTTAAAATAAAACCCTGTCACACTCTCCTCGCCTGAATTTGTCAAACTCACAAAACAGAAATAGGGAAACATGTAAATGAACGCACTGAAAACAAAGTTGTGCTCTGGACACTCATTTATACATTTATACTAGGATGCCTTTTATGTTCAGCTGTAGTACAGTGAAGCATTAAAAACTGTCTGTTTCCCTTCCTTTTTCTGCTCCTGCCGATTTCCTCCTCCTCGCCGCGTTTTCTCATGCTTTGCTTCCCTCCTAATTCTAAATTCAGCTATGAACCCTCCACAGCACTGGAGTCTTGTTGCCTCTTCCTCCATTAAAGCTCCGTCCTTTTAACGCACACACGGGTGCACAACCGGAAACAGAAAGCATGAACACAGATGCGCCGACATTAATTAATTGCACCTTTTCTCGGATGCGTCAAGTCGGATGACGGAGCAAAATCTCTCAACATCTCCGGGTGATTTTTAGTGCTGCTGAATATTTTAAAGAAGAATTAAAAATACAAATGGAAAAAAAAAGTTTCCAGCTGCTGCTCCTTTGTGAACTTGTCAAAGGAGGTATGTGTGTTTTAAATATATCTGCATGCATGTAATTATAATGCAGACCTGTGTAGGTGGGCCACCCGCCACCATCAGTGACTCACAGCTGTTGCAGATGGCCCAGCCGTCTGGTGTTTGTGTGTGTGTGTGTGTGTGTGTTTTAATTACATCATTTTCTCTTAATTAAAGAAGCTGTTCAGCTCTTTCAAGGGGGGCTGTCAGGAATATTTATGAATAGTCAGCACCTTACCTGCAGTAAACTCCAGTCTGAGTGATCCCAGGAAAAATTAGGAGAAATCTCCTGAAGCTAACTCAGACTCTAACAAACAGCTGCATAGTTCGATTGCACTCAGGATTGCTACTTATCCATGTTTAGACTTAAAAGCTACAAACAAATACTTTGAAAAACAAATGATGAAATTATAAAGGTCTCAATATCTTATCAAGCTAACAGCTAGTTATGGTCAAGCTAACAGAACCAAGCCAACAAAATGATCCTGTTAGCAGCAACTAAGCTATTGCTAACTTGGTTACAGCTGAAGGAGTCAAGCTAATAGCTACTTACCATTAAGCTATAACAGATAATTAAGGTCAAGCTAACAGGACCAAGTTATCAGCTATTACTAACTTGCTTTAAGCTAAAGGAGTCAAGCTAACAGGTAACTATGGTCAAGCTAACCAAACAAAGGCAACAGCTAACAGTCAGCTTTTACTAGTGTGTGTACGAGAGAAATCACAGTAACAGCTACTTACCATCAACCTATAACAGCTAATTATGGTCAAGCTAACAGAACCAAACCAGAAAAGCCAGCTATTATTAGCTTGGTTACAGCTAGTAGCTACTTATTGCCAAGTTGACAGCTACTAACAGTCAGATTTACAGCCAACTAGTCAACGTAAAAGCTTAAATAATCTTAGAAATCAAGCTAACAGTTAACACCTACAGACGAAGAGCTACTTTAAATTAAGCTAACAGCTAACAGATGCAAGCTTGACTATAAGTTTTCTGATAGCTACACAGTGACAGTAGGAGTAAGTTTATTATTCTCTTAACCTCCTAAAGTAAGTTAAATTGAGATTAAAGGAGTCAAGCTAATAGGTAACTATGACTTTTTACTTCTTGTCAGCTTTGTACAAGAAAATGTGTAATATTATCATTATTTTGTCAAATGAACAGCTGTGTTTTTATTGGCTGTTATTTAAAAACTATTTATTTAGCAAATTAAAAACCTGTACACAGTTTTTTTTATAACCAATTATGAATGTCTTAATTAGGACTTTGTATGCAATAGTTTTTCACAGCTGAAAGTGAGTCTGCAAGTGATCAGTGTTATTTTCTCACGTCTCATGTCATTGTTGTCCTAGAATTTGCATTACCAACAGATAAACACGGTTCCATTGTTCGGTTCATGGAGAAATATTTCATCTCCCCTTTACTGAGCAAACAAACCAATTGCAAACATTTATATTTGCCAGCTGCCTGTTGTTCCATCACTGCCTGATTACACAGTATTGCCACAATCGCTCAGTTTTATTGCACTGCCAGATCTTCAAACATTAATAGCCTGGTGACTCTCTCGTCTGTCGTGGTGCCAGAAGTCTTTACCTTGACGTAAGCCACTATCTTCAGAGAAATGGTGGCCAGGTAGAGGGAGTTCATGGCAAAGTCCATTAGGTTCCACCAGTCGTGGATGTACTCTGTGAATCCCCCGTCCCACATCTCCTTGATCTCTGCCCAGATGAAACCTGAAACACACAAGCAGACACATCCCAACATCAACGTGTTCCTCTTTGTGCAGACACAGGTCATTAAGCAGGCAGCGAGCATTTTTGTTCTGTATGACTGACTTTACATCAAGTCAAGCTTTATTCTAAATTATTCAGAAGACGTTTCCTCGCTGGAATAAACAAGATTTTAAGGCTCTGAAAGAGAAATGACCTTGGTTAGCTTGGTTTAACCCTTACGCCTGATATCAATCTCTCTGGTGGGTTTGGTTCTGTGACACATCGGCTCAGTGGCTTTTCAGTGCCCCGAATTTTCAGACTGGCTTGACGTGCAAATCTAAATATTTCAGCAGCTGCTGTTATTCCGATCCAAGAGGTTGCACTGCAAAAACACAAAATCTTACCAAGTATTTTTGGTCTTGGTTCTACTGCAAATAACTGAGCACACTTGAAATAAGACAAACTAACTTATTCACAACTTTTCTGCAAAATATAGTTTTGTTCCAAGTAAATAAATTCTTACTATGGTAGTTTCTTTTGTAGATTATTTCACTAATAGCAAGATATTTTTCCCTTCTTTTTTTCAATAACTTAACATATTTCCCTTCTAGTCTAAGTCAGTTTCTAAAGAAGAAGGAAGTGCATGAAGTGACACAGAGTAGCAGATTGTTTTATATTTTCCACAATGATTACAATCAGGATCTGGAAATGATTGGTGTCAGCGCTTTGAGAGAAAGAAGACGGAGACGTAATCATTCATTTTTCCCACTCGCACCCACTCACCACCTCCTCCACGCTCCCACCACCCACATCCGGACCACTTAAGCCCACAGATATCTCTGAATGACCAGCAATCAGCCACCAAAAGTCACCTGGGATGTTTTTGATTCATTTGTTTCATGGAGAGGAGACAGTTTGGCTGTTTGTTTGGGTGAGAATTGTTCAAAAATAAGATCTATTTTTATTACAAAGACTTTGAAGCATTTATTCAAGTGCTGTCACGTTTTTTTTTTCTCTTGTTGGTTTAATTTGAGATGTCAGATTATATTAAGGAAAAACTGAACGTTTCTCTTTTGTTTGATTGCATTGTTATCCAAGAAGTTAGGATTTCATAGAAACTCTTCTCCGCTCTTTTGTTGAGTCCCAACAAAATGTTCTTTCTGACCAATCTGGACCCGTGTTGGAGGCTTTTGATTCCTGCTTCGACAAGATTTACATCTGCTGGCATTTAGGTTTGACAAAATTTGGATTTGATAGAAGAAAGTCTGAGAGTTGAGAAGTATAAAAGATAATGAATGCGTATTTACGACCTTGCCCTTTTGTAGCTCAAACACATTAGGAATTAAATCGTTTGCTCTGAATTGACTCCGGTGTCATTTTAATGCTCACCCAGCACCCAGGGAAGGATCATCCACTCCACGATGGTGGGTGGGGGTCCCTGCATGTGCAGGTTGGTGCGGGCGATGTGCTGCGACGCCAGCAGCAGGAGGAAGAGGAAGGTCAGGTAGGACGCGGTGTGGCAGATGAACTTGATGAAGGGTTTCTTGATGAAGCGCCCCAGAGCGCTCTTTGGGGCCAACAGGTAGATCTGAGGAGGCGGGAAAGAAACACAAGAACAAATAAAACTCCAGTCCTGCAGAGGATAGTGAGGGGAGCTCAGAAGGCTGCACTGCAAAAAGCTTGTTTTCAGTCAATAATTCCTATATAAGTTACAGATGCAGAAATAAACATCTGCAATCAGTTAAGATGAGAAAACAATATACATGCAGCCTTTATGAGGCTAAAACATTTTAATTTTCACATTTATTCTGTATTCAACTGGATTCATTCAAATATCCAGAAATCAGCAAAAAGTTTATATAGAAATGACATTGACACATTTCATTAATTAGATAAATAAATAATGCTTCATATCATTTTTTTTATTTGATAGCAGAAAAAAAAACTTTCAAACATTTTTAGCAATTAGGAAAGTTGAGAAACTGGTTGAAAAACTCAATCAATCTTTTTAATCAGTGCTGCAATCCCATTTTGTGTCCTCTAACATTTAAGAAATTACAAGCTTACAAGGTTTTGCAAATTATGCATGTTAAGTCGTTTGCATTGAGCATAAATTAAGCAACAAATCGATTGGACAGAATCTGGTTTGCATGGAGCTGCAGACTCGTCGCGCCAGAGAGGATTTAGATGGAAACTGAAACAATGAGCAGCTTGAGGAACCAGATGTTTGCATGATTTGTCAAAACACATTCAGATGGAGGAAGATTACATGATTTAAACACTTTTACTGCATTAATTACTCTCATCAGCATTACAGAGCGAAATGAACTGAAACCAGATTGGTTTGCTCTTATGCATGTCTGCATGTTTACTGAAGAATCTGAAAATGTGAAAAAAATACTCTTATTGTTTCAGTTTTAATTAATCTGAAAGAAGACGTTAAAAAAACAATGATGACATAAGAAGATGATTTGGAGCTCATTCTGTCTCCTGGCTTTTATTAGCAAGATAACATTTAGGAGTGATGCGCAGCGTTTCAGTTTCTCTCTCACCAGTGAGAAGACTGGGAACAGCAGCCCGATGATGAAGCAGGTCACCAGTTTGACGGCCCAGTGTCGTCTCCTCCAGCCTGGGAAACCGTCGTACCACAGAGTGGCCAGCAGCTGCTGGCAGTTTGGCTGCGCGACAAACTGAAACCAAAAAGGGTAAAGCTAAATGTTGGCTGGTTCTGGTTGCAAAGTCATGAACTAATGGGAGGTTCTGTGGGTTTCGCTCTGATTTGAGGCTAAATGTTGCTCTAAAACAATTTCTAAAAGTGAGTTGTTGTTGTGGTCGCTTTCATTTACATCTCATTAAATTCCTCCATGGATGGTTCTGGATTAAACCGAAGCCTTTTGTCCCTGCCGGACATTAAGCAATGTCCCTTTATGTCCCTAAAACCCAGACAACCGTCAGGTTTCCATTTTACTCCTATTGTAGTTTCTTCCCTGCTTGGTTTGGTCTTTGCCTGCTTTAGAGTGATTAGTTTGGCCCGGGATAAAAGTCCAAACACCATAAATTAGCTTCTCACTGTAAAAGGGCTGCAGCTACGGAGGGTTATCTGTCACTTTAAGCTGTGTGTGTGTGGATAAGATAATGCTAAAAGTCTGTTTTCCTCTCAAACAAACATCCTATTAAATAAATGGACTGAATAAACACCAGTGCTGCACATCCCACCTTCACACAAGGACACACAACTGTTATCAAGCAAACATTTAGCTAAAAGCTAAAGGAGGCAGACTGCCAAAAGATGATGGAGTCAGCGCCTGCCGCTGTCAATCATGCGCGATCCTCGGCTGCGTTTTGACGGAGGAACATTTGGCGACGGCCGTACATTTCCACACGTCCTTGTTTTCTTTTGAACGTCTCTTCTCGGAGTGGGCCCGTTTCATAAACAGTTGATCCTGGCACATTTTATCTGGAACGTCCTCATCTGTTAGCGTGAGACTGAATCACAGTTTCACCGGGACGCCTTTGAGCGCCGCGGCATTTTGTTTTGCGCAAAGAGGGAAAGACGGACGGGGAAATGTTTACAAGACTTTTTTTTTTTCTTTCTGCAAAGTCTTTCACTTTAAGACTCTCAAAGTACTTCGCATGATAATGACATAAAATACATACATATATAAAATATCTTGATTGTTTTAAGTTAATTTTTTAACATGATATTAAAAGGAAGATTATACCAGTTACTATTAAACATTTTTCACATTATAAATCAAAGTTTCTGCCAGTGGAACTCATTTTTGTTTATTTAGTGGTTATTAACATAAAAGCTCTTGCTGAAAAGTTTCTGAAAAGTTTCTTCTGTTTCTTTCAAACTGCAAAATTCACTTCTGAAGAAAACCTCTAAACTGTGCTGAGGAGTTTCTGCTCTCGGTTTGAGTTGATCCTCGTCTTTCAGACTCGGGGAGCGATGGAGGGCGCGACCTCAGCGCTGAGCAGAAGCGGTTTGTTGAACCTCCGTCCGGGAAACGCGCCGCCGGAATGCGAGCGAGAAAATTGGATAATGCATGTATTTAATTATACAGATGACACGATAGAAGCAGAGGATAAACGGGAGGAAGCAGGAGATGTGTTAGAAGTCAAACCAAGGAGCCTGCTGCAGCTTCACCTCCTCCTCATCCCTCCATCTCCTCCTCCCTTCCTCTAATCCTCCTCTTCATCCTCAGCGCTTCTCCTTCACGTCCCACTTTGCTTTCTTCACTTTTTCCTCAAAATCTTATTGTTCCTCTGTTCACTTCTTTTGTCTTTGTTCCTTTATTTATCTCTCTTTTCCTTTTCCTCTGTTCTCTCATTGCCTCCATCTCTTTTGTTTTCTCCCTTTATCTCTTTTTTCTTATTTCTCCCTCTGTTCATTTCTTTCTTCCTCTCATGTCTCTTTCTTCTTTTTCTCTCTCGTTTTTTCTTTGTCTCCTTTCTCTTTGGTTTCTTCCATCATTTTCTCTCTCTCCTTCTTTATATCTCTTCTTTCTTTTTTCTCTTTTTATCTCCTGTTCTTTTTCTCTCTTCTATGTCTCTCTCTTTTAATCTATTTTCCTCTCTTTCTTTCTCCAAACTCCTTCCTTTCCCTTTCTCCTCCTCCATCTCCTCCTTTCTTTTCTTGAACTATATTTAGTCCGATTTCCTTTTCCTTTCATCTTTGGTGCTTCTTTTTTTCTTTCGTTCTTAACTCCTCTCTTCCTTTCTCTCCACCAGTAATCACAAATCCTCATCCTTCTCTTCCTCCTTCACTCCATCTTTCCTTAATATTTAATACATTTCTTGCTTCTTTTCGTCCCTTCTGGCGCTCTCCTCCATCCCTTTTCCTCCTCATCCCTCCTTCCTCTTGTCTGTTTTCCTTATTCTCTCCCGTCTCTCTTTTCTCTCTCGCTCGTCTCTGGCTTCGTTTCTTGTTCCTATGGCAGCAGTATGCTAATGAAAGATCTGAACTACAGCAGTCTGCCCCCCGTCTCTCTCTCTCTCTCTCTCTCTCTCCTCTTTTTCTCTCCCTCTCTCTCTCTCTCGATCCTGTTTTAGGATAAATCTCTCAGAGTTTCAGCTGGAAAACATCTGTGTCATAATTTACCAAACCTGTTTGCGTTTGAGCAGCTTCTGAAGTCAGAAAATAAAAAATGGACGCCTCTGACAGGAAGTGGTCCGTTCTGGTGCCGTGAGACGCTTTAGAAACCGCCAGTGCACCTTAAACCCAGCCTACGGATCAGCTCCGCTTGCGTAACGCGACGGAGGACGGTGGGTGGCGTGTTCATCATCGCTGGTCAGTGGAAATCAGCAGGACGATGCACATAAACACAACGTCCAGGAGGAATCGGTGAATCAGTGAGTGGTGGGCGATCAGGTCGCTTCTGAACCTGATGGGCTGAAGTTGGACTCCAGGGGCAACAATGTGGTGCAGGTGTTACCAGAAAAGGGTAAAACACCCAAAGATTTCCCTCTAGGAAGAGCAGCAATACTTCAACCAGGTTTTCCTCTGGAAGAAGTAAAAAGTAATGATTCTGCAGTTTGGTAGGAACAGCAACACTTTATCTGCACACGACTGACATGACGCCGTCATAAACATGGAGGAGACTTTATGAATGACTGGAAATAATGACACTTTTAATGACAAGTTGCTTTAGCAATTACCTTGGAATGCCATTAAAAGTGCCAACTTTGCATTAAAGTGTCATTCTTTACAAAATAATGCAACGTTGGCACTTTTAAAGGAATTTCACTATAAAGTGTTATCAAAGGAACTAGTCACATTTACTTCTGTAACTTTTATGAAAAGAATACTTTTAGGAGTATTTTTACTATGCTTTTACTTGAGTAATTTTATTATGAAGTATTTCTCGTCTTACTTGAGTAACATTTCTTAATTTTCTCCCTATGGAATGAAAAACAAACCAAAAATTCACCAGATACAGACCTGCAGTTCTTGTTTCATAAAGTTAAAGATGCTACTTGCATGAACATTTCTAATTTTCATTTATAACATCGCCAGATTTTCTTAACAAATATAAGGTTAAGAAAATGTTTCCACATCAGTTTCTTGCAATAAAAACACTTTTTATGAACCTTTAACAGAAACTGCAGGCGTATGTCTGTCTGGTGAATTTTTGGTAAAAAAACTAAATTGTTTTTCATTCAGTTTGTGTAGAATCCAGAAATTTTCCTCAAGAGTAAGGAAGAAAAGCTCTCCTAAAAGCATTTTTTCCCCCACAAAAGTTACTCAAGTAAATGTAACTAGTTACTACTCAGCTCTTGGTAGTTATAACCAGCAAATTCTGAGTGTAATGATGGAGAGCCACATAAAGACAATTATAAAGTTGGCCTTCCGTCACCTGAAGAACATTTACAGGATTAAAGAAATGTTTATATTTAGTCAGAATCAAAATCATACATGAATAAGTCATTAGACAAAATCATTCTTCTGTCACTTCCTGTCATCTTTTCTGTCATTTCCACCAGTAGTAACTTCTGTTTCTTGATCAGATAGTAAAAATGTTTTATAGTCAATAGCAATGCAGCTGGTTTCTTCACAGATCTCCATAAAAAAATCAGTCAGACCTGGTCACCCCTTTTAGAACTGTCTGTGGGGATCCTAAATATCTAATTTCATCAGTCTGTCTGCCTTTTACTTTAGATAAAACCCAGTTCAAACAAAGTTTGGGTCAGTCTTCACTTTTCCCCCTGAAAGGCGATGTTGTTACTCATCACCGTCCATCTTTAAAATTCAATTTGAAAGGTCACAGCAGCAGCCTCAAAGGCATTTTCAATAAATCTTTAAAAAACAATTCTTAGGTTTTAAAGCATCTGTACCACATTTTAAAAGATTAGCTTAGCCATCTGAGCATTGTCATGCCTCAAATATGAATAATGGAAATGATGGTGAAGAATCAAATCAAATCAGAAAATATTCATTATAAATAATAAAGTTTTTTTATTGAACCAAAAAGAAATATGACTTGCAAAAGTCCTGATCTGGAAAAATACTCAAAATCCTGAGATGTTAATGCCAATATATTGATTAGTTCAGTATAGATTAGCAGCTATTCGGCCGTCACTGATAGTTTGGGTGTTTTGTTCACCCAACTGTGCTTCCCTCCATCCATCCATAGTTTTCTTTGACTTCATGTCATTTTACTCCTGAAAACTGGGGAAGCACCTTCAGCTCCATGATAAATGTCCGGTCCATTTTAAATTGATTACCGCGCTCCGTCTCCTCTGCAGTGGTGTGAAAACGGCACAGGATAAAGTCTCAAACTTAATCTCAGAAAACCACACTCTTTCATGCTAATCCAATAGCAGCTTTATAGAACACGCACCGCTTTTACCGCCGGCTGGAAATGGCTTAAACGGACGTGGACAACAATTGAAAGTGACAGAAAATTACACCTCACCATCAAATGCATTTTTATTTAACTCTTAAAATCCGATTTATTGTAAATGACAGTTTGAAGAAATATCAAAGTAAACGAGGTACAAACTTTTGAAAGATTGCAATGAGCATAAATGAAGCTATGCTAGTCTGACTTTTGATTGTATTCTGGAATGTGTGTGCACATTTGTTACCTGAGTGCAATAATTATTGCTAATTGATCATTTATCTTCTTTTAACATCACTTTTAGTCACCTAAAATATCAAAAAAGCAGTAAAAAATATGTCTTTGTT